AGAAGGAAAGTAGGAAAGATAGATGGAAAAAAGGGGAAGAAGGAAGAAAGGGAGGAAGAAAAGTAGATAGGAAAGAGAGAAGCAAAGTCAGAATGAAGAAAAGAGGGAAGAGTGGGAGTGAGGGAAGAAGAAAAGAGAGGAGGAAGAAAGAAAGGTAGGTAGGAAAAAGAGGAAAGTAAAGGAAGAAAGGGAGGAAAGAGGGGGAAGAAAAGGAAGGAAGAAAGAGCTAGGGAAGAAGAGGGAAGAAGGAAGGAAAGGAGGAAGAAAGGGAGGAAAGAGGAAAGAGAAAAAGAAACATAGGAAATAAAGAAAGAGAACGAAGAAAGAAGAAAAGAAAGGGAGGGAAGGAGAAAGAAAAGGGATAGAGGAAAATGGGGAAAGGTAGGAAAGAGAAGGGAGGAGGGAGGATGAAAACAATGTAAAACAATTAGAAAGTGTTTAAAAATATTAAGACACTCTGCAGCACAGTTTTCTCAGCAAGATTATTCAAGGGGAGTTTGCCATTGCCTTCCTTTGGGGACAAGAGAGTGTGACTTGCCCAAGGTCACCCAATGGGATTCAAACCCAAGTCTCCAACATTCAAACAACTCCAACACTCTCGTGTTTAATTCGTACCTTTTTCTATCTCTTCCTCCAGAAAATAAATAGCTTCGTAGGGTGGCTAGAAAAAAATCACTGGACCTAAATGTTTAAAAATGAAAAGATGACTCACTGAATACACATTGCAAGAATGCTACTCACCTCCCCGTTCTCACGGCTAGCCGATGGAATATGCATGAGATTTAAAACAAGTCCTAGATATCCAAACGACTGCTCATTAGAGGCAAAGTTGAAGTCCTTTGGCCACATCATGAGAAGAAAGGAAAGCTTAGAGAAGACAATAATTCTGGGGYAAATGGAAGGAAAAAGGAAGAGGGGCCGACCAAGGGCAAGATGGATGGATGGCATCCTTGAAGTGACTGGATTGACCTTGGAGGAGCTGGGGGTGGTGACGGCCGACAGGGAGCTCTGGCGTGGGATAGTCCATGAGGTCACGAAGAGCCYGAAACGACTGAACGAATGAACAACAATAAGCACAGGAGCCCAGAGACTTGCTGGGAGTTGTGGTTGCTGGGATTTATAGTTCACCTACAATCAAAGAGCATTCTGAACCCCACCAACAATAGAATTAGGCCAGACTTCCTGCACAGGACCCCCATGCCTTGAGGAGACTTGCTGGGAGTTGTAGTTGCTGGGATTTATAGTTCACCTACAATCAAAGAGCATTCTGAACCCCACCAACAATAGAATTAGGCCAGACTTCCCGCACAGAACCCCCATTCCTTGAAGAAACTTGCTGGGAGTTGTAGTTGCTGGGATTTATAGTTCATCTATAGCATTCTGAACCCCACCAACAATAGAATTAGGCCAGACTTCCTGCACAAAACCCCTGTGCCTTGAAGAGACTTGCTGGGAGTTGTAGTTGCTTGGATTTATAGTTCACCTCCAATCAAAGAGCATTCTGAACTCCACCAACAATAGAATTAGGCCAGATTTCCTGCACAGAACCCCCATTCCTTGAAGAAACTTGCTGGGAGTTGTAGTTGCTGGAATTTATAGTTCATCTACAATCAAAGAGCATTCTGAACCCCACCAATGATAGAATTGGACCAAACTTCCCACATGGGATTCCATGACCAACAGAAAATACTGTGTTGTCTGATGGACTTTGGTGACCCCTCTGACACCCCCTCGCAACTCTCTACCTGGGGTCCCGACCCCCAATTTGAGAAACACTGGTGTAGATGCACCCAGTAGATCGATTCCGAAATGGAATAACAGAAACTGGTTTCATGGTGGAGATGATTGGATTGATTTCTATGAATCCAGTTTGGGGCCATGACTTAATTGTTCTGGGAGTTGCAGATTTATAACATCTTTTGCCTTCTCTGCCAAAGAGTGCAAACTACAAACCTCTAAACTCCATTGCATTCAGCCATAGCAGTTAAAGTGCTTCCAAAACTGCATTCATTCCAAAGTGTTGATATGCCCTAGGTAACTTTTCCAAACTCTGGAAAATAAAACGTCTTCGAACGTCTCTAAATTGGCAGTGATTATTTGGTTGGCACATGTTTTTTTGCGCAAAAGATCTCCGAAAGTGTGGCTTCCTCGGTTGACTCACGAAGCTATTAAATCATTAATGCAACGGACAGGTTTGGCATATAATTTTCCTGATGGGTGATAGGTGCCCTTGGGCACATTGCGCTGAATCTGTCTCTACCCTGGCATTATTTCACTCAAAGGCTTGAAAGCCCATAATTAAAACTTTGCAAAAATGTGTGTGGCTTGGATGTTGGAGATGGTGAAAACAAGCCAGCGCTGCAGGGGAAACTTGCAGTGTGTCCTTCCTAACTTTCCTGGGAAAGTTATAGTTCTAAGATCACAAAGAAGTGGGGGATGCTGGGGGATACTGGGAATTGTAGTCCAGAAAAGTAGTGCTTCTCAGTACAAGTTATCCATAATTCCCAAATACTCTAAAATCCCCCATTATCTTGGGTGGCTGAGATAGGGAAACTTTTGCTTTTCTGCTGTTCCAATGTACAGAAACTTCATTTCATGCACAAAATTATTAAAATATTTTTTATTTTGGTCTATTTATTTATTGTATCAGAAGCAAATGGAGGTCACTGGGACTGTGGCACAGCTGGCTGGTAGTCAGCTGCATTAAGATCACTATTGCCCAAAGGGTCATGAGTTCGAAGCCAGCCCAGGTTGGAGTGAGCTTCCACCCATTGTGTGTAGCTTGCTGTCGACCTTTGCAGCCCGAAAGACAGTTGCATCTGTCAAGTAGGAAACTTAGGTACCGCTTATGTGGGGAGGCTAATTTAACTAATTTACAATGCCATAAAATCTCTTGCAAGCAAGCAAAGAATGAGGAAGTACTCTATCAGTGTCTCAAATGGATGGTGAAGTGACAGTTCCCTGGTGGCCAGAATACCCTCATGAAAAAGCTGGAAAGTTAAATAGCCTCAGTGTGTCTATCTATATATGTTGTGTGTCTATGGCATTGAATGTTTGCCATGTATATGTACATTGTAATCCACCCTGAGTCCCCTGTGGGTGGAATATAAATACTGTAAACAAACAAACAAGTAAATAAATACAGTTTTAATGTATTTCAATAACACAAAGTTTAAAACTTGGCATTATACTAAATGTCCTTTGACCAGTAGCCAGCGTGACAACTCTTTAAATTAAGAAATAACTTTCTAAGATGTAGAGAGATACTTGCAGGAACACCTCAGCAAGTGAGAGTCCAAAAATGGCAGGCTAAAACGCAGAYCTCAAGCCATGGCTAATACTGAATGAGAGACTCCCCGCTGGGCACACAGAAGACGGGGCGACTTGGATGATGCTGAAAACTTGGCATTATACTAAATGTCCTTTGACCTGTAACTGGCCATTTGGAGTGCCTCTGGTGTTGCTTTAAGAAGGTCCTCCATTGTGCATGTGGCAGGGCACAGGCTGCATTGTAATAGGTGGTCTGTAGTTTGCTCTTCTCCACACTCGCATGTCATAGACTCTACTTTGAAGCCCCATTTGTTAAGGTTGGCTCTGCATCTCGTCGTGCCTGGGCACAGTCCYTTCAGCACCATCCAAGTCACCCGGTCTTCTGTATTCCCAGCAGGGAGTCTCTCATTTGGTATCAGCCATTGATTGAGTTTCTGGGTTTGAGCCTGCCACTTTTGGACTCTCACTTGCTGAAGTGTTCCTTCAAGTATCTCTATAGATCTTAGAAAGCTATTTCTTGATTTAAAGCGTTGACATGCTGGATGATATCCAAAGAGGGAATGGTCCAAAGATGTCACTGCCTTGGTTCTGTCATTATTGGTTGCTACTTCCTGGCGGATGTCAGGTGGTGCAATACTGGCAAAACAGTATAATTTCTCCAGTGATATAGGGTGTAGACATCCTATGAGAATGCGGCATGTCTCTTTAAGAGCCACATCCACTGTTTCAATGTGGTGAGATGTATTCCACACTGGGCATGCATATTCAGCAGCACAATAGCATAGCGCAAGGGCAGATGTCTTCACTGTGTCCGATTGTGATCCCCAGGTTGTGCCAGTCAGCTTTCGTATGATATTATTTCTAGCAGTCACTTTTTGCTTGATATTCAGGAAGTGCTTCTTGTAGGTTAGACCACGGTCCATAGTGACTCTCAGGTATTTGGGTGTGCTGCAATGCTCCAGTGGGATTTCTTCCCAGGTCATCCTCTAAGCTCGGGATGCATGTCTGGTCTTAAGGTGAAAAGCACATGTCTGTGTTTCAGGTGGATTAGGAATCATCTGGTTTTCCCTGTAATAGGTATTAAAAATGGTAAAGGTTAAAGTTTTCCTCTGACAGTAAGTCCAGTCATGTCCAACTCTTTGGGTTGGTGCTCATTTCCATTTCTAAGCCGAAGAGCCAGCGTTGTCCATAGACACCTTCAAGGTCATGTGGCCGGCATGACTGCATGGAGCGCCATTACCTTCCTGCCGGAGCGGTACCTATCGATCTACTCACATTTGCATGTTTTTGAATTGCTAGGTTGGCAATAGCTGGGGCTGACAGTGGGAGCTCATATCGCTCTCCGGATTCGAACCTGCGAACTTTTGGTCAACAAGTTGAGCACCTTGGTGCTTTAACCCATGCGCTACTGGGGGCTCCTTGTAATAGGCAGTAAGAGCACCTAAATCTTTGGAGAGCTTCTAGTCAAGCATTTCAAAGCTCCCTTCTTGAGCGGTGATGGCACTATTGTCAGCATAGATGAAACTCTCTGTCCCGTTTGGCAGTGACTGATCATTGGTCCTGGAGGGCCGAAGTTTGCCCATGCCCGATGGAGATGCACCGTCAGTTACACATCTGTTGCACAAAGAAATAATAAAATTAGAAGCATTGCTTGTATCTTGTTGCTTCCAGTTGCTTCCCCGTGGATTCCTTCTTCTTTTGGGTGAAATATTTCCCCTTTTCTCTGACAGTTGCACTATAAAGTCCCTTCAGCGGCGCCACGTTTGCATCAGTCGCCTGGAAAGGCCCCAGAACTGGGGAGAGAACTCCTGCGAAGTCCGGTTCGTCATCCTGGTCCTTGCGCCTCCCAAAATGGTACGCTTTCCTCCTCCTTCGGCTCATAATAACAATTGCATTTTCTTTGGAGCGTGTCTACACTGTAAGATTAACGCAGTTTAAACCCCACTTGGAACCGCCATGCTATGGAATCCAGGGAAGTTGTAGCTTGGTGAGGCTCTTTGTGAAAGACCTTGTAGAACTACAACTTCACAGGATTCCATAGCATTGGGCCCTGTCAGTTCAAGTGGGGTCAAACTGCATTATTTCTACAGTGTAGATGCACCCATAAGCAGATGACTGATTGTGAGTTCAATACTGTATGATACTCATATCTGCAAGAGATACATCCCTGGAAGTCTGTTGAAGGACCTAAAATCCCAGGAGTATGCACCACTCTATCATGTATCGGTCCTCCAGCGACTCTGTGGTCAATTTCCATCAGGAACATCCCATACATTCAACTTGGAGACCCAAAAATACTTCGAGAGAACTTCTTACTAGCATATCTAGATCATCTAGTGAAGTGGTTCTTAACCTGAGGCTCAATGTTTATTGTTTCACGAGTGGGTGTCAGAGGGGTCAGCAAAGACCATCAGAAAACACAGTATTTTCTGTTGGTCTTGGGGGTTCTGCATTGGAAGTTTGGCCCAATTCTGTCGTTGGTGGGGTTCAGAGTGCTCTTTGATTGTAGGTTGTAGATTGAACTATAAATCCCAGCAACGGCAACTACCAAATGTCAAGGTCTACTTTCTCCAACCTCCACCAGTGCTCACATTTGGGCATATTGGGTATCCATGCCAAGTTCGGTCCAGATACATCATTGTTTGAGTCCACAGTGCTCTCTGGATGGAGGTGGACTACAACTCCAAAACTCAAGGTCAATGCCCACTAAACCCTTCCAGTATTTTTTTTTTTTTTGGCCATGGGAGTTCTTTGTACCAAGTTTGGTTCAATTCCATTGTTGGTGGAGCTCAGAATGCTCTTCGATTTTAGGTGAACTATAAATCCCAGCAACTGCAACTCCCAAATGTCAAGGTCTATTTTCTCCAAACCCCAGTGTTCACATTTGGGCATATTGAGTATTTGTACCAAGTTTGCTCCAGATCCATCATTGCTTGAGTTCACAGTGCTCTCTGGATGGAGGTGAACTACAGCTCCAAAACTCAAGGTCAATACCCACCATACCCTTCAAGTATTTTCGTTGCTACTTCACAACTGCAATTTTGCTACTGTTATGAATTGTAATATATATATCTCATTTGCAGGATATATTTTCATTCTCTGGACCAAATGTGGCACAAATACCCAATACGCCCAAATTTGAATACTTTTGGGGTTGTGGGGAGGGATTGATTTTCTCATTTGGGAGTTGTAGTTGCTGGGGATTATGGTTAACCTACAATCAAAGAGCATTCTGAACTCCACCAATGACGGAATTGAACCAAACTTGGGAAACAAAACCCCATGAACAACAGAAAATACTTTAAGGGTCTGGTGGGCATTGACCTTGAGTTTTGGAGTTGTAGTTTACCTACATCCAGAGAGCACTGTGGACTCAAACAATGATGGATCTGGACCAAACTTGGCACGGATACTCAATATGCCAAAATGTGAACACTGGTGGAGTTTGGGGAAAATAGACCTTGCCATTTGGGAGTTATAGTTGCTGGGATTTATAGTTCACCTGCAATCCAAGAGCATTCTGAATCCCGTCAAGGACAGAATTGGGCCAAACTTCCCATACAGTACCCCCATGACAAACATGTGTTTTCTGATGGTCTTTGGTGACCCCTCTGACACCGCCTCACGACCCCCTAGGGGTCCCGACACCCAGGTTAAGACACACTGGTGAACACAATAGGCAACACCGGAAATGGATGAATATATATGGAATTTTGTTGATATATATATAGAAATAATAGCAATCCCCATCTTGCTTTGTTCCTCCCAGAAAAGCACCAAAACGGCCACCGAAGTGGGCCGAACGTTTGCTACAATGTTCTCGGACATCACTTTCCGGCAAAAGCTTCTGGAAACCAAGACGGAGGAAGAGTTCAAGGAGGCCTTGGTCCACCAGCGTCACCTGCTAACCGTCGTGAACCAAAGACCCTCGGCTGTGGCGGATGGACACAAGGCCCACGGCCACAAACCCCTCAAGGTACGCCGGGCATTTTGTACAATTCTGCAAAATCGCAATGGGATTCTAACCTTGATGGTTGTCCATGTGTTGTGCAACAACATTCCACTTCTATTCGTCAGACTTGTTTACACAAGTCTTCCTATATGCATCCTTTTGAAAAGTTAACATATTTTTTTTCATAATAAAAAACCACCCATGATTATTGATTGATAGATATTTATATGGCTGGAAGTCAGCTGCATTAAGATCATTACTGACCGAAAGATCATGAGTTTGAAGCCAGCCCGGTTCGGAGTGAGCTTCCGACCTATTTGTGTAGCTTGCTGACAACCTTTGCAGCCCGAAAGATAGTTGCATCTGTCATGTAGGAAATGCAGGGAGGCTAATTTATGACTTCATAAAAATCTCCAGCAAGCATGCAAAGAATGAGGAAGTACTTCATCAGTGTCACAAATGGACAGTGAAGCAACAGCTCCCCTGGTGGCCAGAATACCCTCATGAAAAAGCTGGAATGTTAAATAGCCTCTGTGTGTCTGTCTATATATGTTGTGTGTCTATGGCATTGAATGTTTGCTATATATGTGTACATTGTAATCCGTCCTGAGTCCCCTGCGGGGTGAGAAGGGAGGAATATAAATACTGTAAATAAATAAATAATAAATAAATATTTTAATTAGTATGGACAAACCCCTTACAAAAGGGATATTAGTTAATAGAAAGGCTGTGCAGTGAAAACAAAGGGGGAGGATGAATGCTAATGATCTAGAGTAAATCTTGTACGTATAACACTAACTTTACTAACAAATGAATTTATCTGATTTTCTAAGATTAGTTTGGTAATAAACACAACTAAACGAGAGTCTATAAGAGAAATAAGTGAGCAGGAACAATCAAGAAGAACTTTTAAGAACAAAAAGAAAAGAAAAGCAAATTGAAAAAAAAATCAAATACAAGAAGATGGTTAAGGAAGACACGACTCTTATGGTTAAAAATAAAGCACCATAAGACCCCTCTTTTATATAGAAGATAAAATATTAATAGTTTAAGCAATGGATGTTAGGGTAATGGAAAAAGAAAATTGGATGTAATACAGTAAAATGTCAGATAATGTTTTTCCCTTGCCCTCCATATCACTCTCCTCTCTCTTGATGATTTATTAGATACTAGCTATCCCCTGTCAATCAAAAAAACCAAGATTATGGCAACAAGAATGATTGACAACTGGAAAATAGAGGGAGAAACCGTGGAGGCCGTGACAGACTTTGTATTTCTAGGTGCAAAGATTACTGCAGATGCAGATGTGGCCAGGAAATCAGAAGACGCTTACTTCTTGGGAGGAGAGCAATGTCCAGTCTCGATAAAATAGTAAAGAGTAGAGACATCAGACTGGCAACAAAGATCCGCCTAGTCAAAGCCATTGTATTCCCTGTAGTAACCTACGGATGTGAGAGCTGGACCTTAGGGAAGGCTGAGCGAAGGAAGATCGATGCTTTTGAACTGTGGTGCTGGAGGAAAGTGCTGAGAGTGCCTGGATCCAACCAATCCATACTTCAGGAAATAAAGCCCGACTGCTCACTGGAAGGAAGGATATTAGAGGCAAAGATGAAGTACTTTGGCCACATCATGAGAAGAAAGGAAAGCTTAGAGAAGACAATTATGCTGGGGAAAATGGAAGGAAAAGGAAGAGGGGCCGACCAAGGGCAAGATGGATGGATGGCATCCTTTGAAGTGACTGGACTGACCTTGAGGGAGCTGGGGGTGGTAACGGCCGACAGGGAGCTCTGGCGTGGGCTGGTCCATGAGGTCACGAAGAGTCGGAGACGACTGAACGAATGAACAACAACAAGCTGTCCCCTGCCATGTGTTGCTGTGTCCCAGTTTGTGTAGATGTGTTTTGTGGGTATATATGTGTGTATATATATTTGTGTATATGTGTATATATGTGGCTTTGCACCTGTTTTGTAATGTTTTTTTTTTGTTTTTTTGGGGGGGGGGCTTTTTAAGGGTCCTCCGCTGTGTTTATTGGTGTTTTTTTATTTATGTTCAATATTCTTTATTAGGTTTCCTTTTAATTGTGACATCGAAAGAGGGGGAACAATACGTTGATAGGAAAGCTTGGAAAGTAGAACATTGGAGGGATAAAACATGAGGAGGGGAGGGATGGGGGTGAGAAAGGAGGTGTGTGGGGGAGATTAGGTAGAGGGTTTGAGGGAAGGGGGCGATTCTTGACACTTCCGTTTGGTCCACAGCTGGACTGCATACTGTTAAGTACCTTTTTTGGTTTTAGTTCCTTGTTTCTTATTGTTGACTTATCTAATAATTATTGTTATTAAACTTTTATTTCTGAATATCTTTTAGATATTCTTTACAATCGTTCCAATTGGTCTGTCTTTCCTTATTCTGATTCTCCATTAGGCTCGATAATCTTTCCAAATCCATGAATTCAATCACTTTTTTTGTCCATTCCTCAGCCGATGGGGTTACTTGTGTTTTCCATTTTTGGGCTATAAGCATCCTTGCCGTGGATGCGAGATAAAAGAAGATTTTTTCCTCATTTTTCTTCATGGCGGGGACTGTCATGTTAAGGAGATAATATTCCGGATTCATTTCCAATTTTGTTTTGGTTATTTTTTGTACATGTTTATGGACTATTGACCAAAATTGTTGGATTCTCTTGCATTCCCAGAACATATGATAATAGGTTCCTGTCTCCTTTTTGCACTTCCAGCATAAGTTATTATGATTTTTGTTTAGTCTAGATCAGTGTTTCTCAACCTGGGGGTCGGGACCCCTGGAGGGGTCGCGAGGGGGTGTCAGAGGGGTCGCCAAAGACCATCAGAAAACACAGCATTTTCTGTTGGTCATGGGGTTTCTGTGTGGGAAGTTTGGCCCAATTCTATCATTGGTGGGTTCAGAATGCTCTTTGATTATAGGTGAACTATAATCCCAGCAACTACAACTCCCAAATGCCAAGGTCTATTTTCCCCGAACTCCACCACTGTTCACATTTGGGCATATTGAGTATCCATGCCAAGTTTGGTTCAGATCCATCATTGTTTAAGTCCACAGTGCTCTACCTGGATGTAGGTGAACTACAGCTCCCAAACTCAAGGTCCCACCAAAGTGTTTTATGTTGGTCATGGGAGTTCTGTGTGCCAAGTTTGGTTCAATTCCATCATTGGTGGAGTTCAGAAGGTTCTTTGATTGTAGGTGAACTATAAATCCCGGCAACTACAGCTCCCAAATGACAAAATCACTGCCCCCCCCCCCCCACAAACCCCACGGTATTCCAATTTGGGCATATCGGATATTTGTGCCAAATATGGTCCAGTGAATGAAAATACATCAGATATTTACATTACAATTGATATCAGTAGCAAAATGACAGTTATGAGTAGCAATGAAAATGATTTTATGGTTGGGGGGGGGGGTCACCACAACAGGAGGAACTCTATTAAGGGGTCGTGGTTAAAGGAAGGTTGAGAACAACTGGTCTAGATAATAAGGCTGGCATTAGATGCCATCGTAGAACATCTTATGGCAATTTTCTATGATGGATGTGGCTTTGGTAAGTTGGGTTTTCTTCTTCCAGATTTGCTCCCATTCTCCGAGCCATATGGTCCTGCCAATGTCTCTCGCCCATTTATTCATACTTTCTTTTATCAACTCCTTTTCGTTGTTTCATTCTAGTAGGTTTCTATATATTGTCGTAATCACTTTTTTTCTTTTTTCATTATCTTTTCCCATATGGACTCCGTCTCGGAGAACCCTTTTTTACAATCCTCTTTATAACATTCCTTTGCTTGCAGGTAGTGGAACCAGCCCAATTCTTCTTCTGTCTCTCGAAGCTCGTCCATAGATTTGAGGCGCCATTGAGTGTTTTCTTTTATTAGAAGTTGGTTATAATTAAGCCATCTTTTCCTAGGTAGTTCCTTCTTATGGAAGGCCTCTGATGGAGATATCCATCTGGGCGTTTTAGAATAAAAGTAGACTTTGAATTTTTTCCATACCTTTAGGAGGGCTGATCTTATATAGTGATTGTTGAATGATCTTTCTATTTGGTCTTTCTCATACCAAAGGTATGCGTGCCATCCTCTTCTTATATTCCATCCTTCTATGGTTAACATCCTTTTGGGCTCAAGATTGGCCCATGCCACAGTCCAGGATAGGGCGCATGCCTCAAAATAAAGTTGTAAGTCCGGCATTGCTAGTCCTCCTCTTTCCTTCGCATCCGTAAGGGCTTTAAATCTAACCCTCGGTTTCTTCCCGTCCCAGACGAACCTCAAGATGTCCTTATTGGTGTTTTTTTGAGTGATGTTCACTCATTGGTGTGGTAGGTGTATTGTGTCCAAATTGTGTGTCAATTTGTCTAGTGGCTTTTGAGTTATGTTAATCCCAGAAACGAACATTACATTTTTAGGTTGTTGTAGGTTTTTTCGGGTTATATGGCTGTGGTCTAGAGGCATTCTCTCCTGACGTTTCGCCTGCATCTATGGCAAGCATCCTCAGAGGTAGTTCCTGTTGGAACTAGGAAAGTGGGTTTGTTATTATTATTACTATTATTATTATAATTATTATTATTATTAAACTTTATTTGTACCCCGCTAGCATCTCCCGCAGGACTCGATGCAGCTTATAAAGGCCAAGGCCTCAACACAACAACAGCAAAACAAAACAAAAAATACAATTCAAAGCAAATTAAAAACATAAGCCATAACAAAACATTACATCATTACGCAATAAAAACCATGGCCGGGCCAGTGATGGGTACAGGTTAAAAAGTGCTGGGTGTGGCAGGTGGTACGTCTTTATATATCTGTGGAATGACAAGGGTGGGACAAAGTACTCTTGTCTGTTGGAGCTAGGTGTGAATGTTTCAACTGACCACCTTGATTAGCATTTGATTGCCTGGCTGTGCCTGGGGCAATCTTTTGTTGAGAGGTGATTAGATGTCCCTGATGGTTTTCTCTCTGTTGTTTTGCTGTTGTAATTTTAGAGTTTTTTAATACTGTTAGCCAGATTTTGTTCATTTTCATGGCTTCCTCCTTTCTGTTGAAATTGTCCACATGCTTGTGGATTTCAGTGGCTTCTCTGTGTAGCCTGACATGGTGGTTGTGAGAGTGGTCTAGCATTTCTGTGTTCTCAAATAATATGCTGTGTCTAGGTTGGTTCATCAGGTGCTTTGCTATGGCTGACTTCTCTGGTTGAAGTAGTCTGCAGTACCTTTCATGTTCCTTGATTCATGTTTGGTGGTCCCTCTGTAGACTTGTCCACAGCTGCATGGTATACGGTAGACTCCTCCAGAAGTGAGAGGATCCCTCTTGTCCTTTGCTGAATGTAGCATTTGCTGGATTTTCTTGGTGGGTCTGTAGATAGTTTGTATGTTGTGTTTCCTCATCAGCTTCCTTATGCGGTCAGTGGTTCCCTTGATGTATGGCAGGAACACTTTTCCTCTGGGTGGATCTTCATCTTTACTCTCGTGGCTTGTTCTCGGTCTTGCAGCTCTTCTGATGTCTGAGGTGGAGTCTCCATTGGCTTGGAGAGCCTACATCGGCACCACCAAACGCAGCGTCTATTTTTCAAATTATGGGATGGGCAAGGGATGCCTGGATTGACATATTTATATCCAGAAGTATAGGGCCAGACTGTGGATGCAATACAATAAACGTCTTGTTGCGGGATTTCTCTTTCTTGCAATACCAGGTGGTCCTTTTCTGCACCAAAATAACATTTCTCTCCTTTTTTTTAGCTCAACGAGTTCTTCAACGTCGGCAAAGGGATTTTTGATGACATTGCGCGACGGTTCCCAGTGTATGCTCTCGACTTCACCGATGGTAGGCAAGCCATTATTTATAGGAATGAGGCTTCTTGCAATCCCTTGTCCTGTTTACAGAGACTCCTTTTTTTCTTTCTTCCTTTCTTCCTTCCTTCCTTACTTTCTTCCTTCCTCCTTCCTTCCTTCCTTTCTCCTTCTTTTTCTTTTCTTTCTTTCCTTTCTTCTTCCTTCCTTCCCTTCCTTCCTTCCTTTCTTTTCTCCTTCCTTCCTTCCTTCTTTCCTCCTTCCTTCCTTTCTTTCTTCTTTCTTTCTTTCTTTCTTCCTTCCTTTCTCCTTCCTTCCTCCCCCTCTCCCTCCCTCCCTCCTTTCTTCTTTCTTTTCCTTTCTTCCTTTTCCTTCCTTCCTTCCTTTCCTCCCTCCCTTTCTTCCTTCCTTTCTTTCTTCTTTTTTCTTCCTTCCCTCCCTCTCCTTCTTCCTTTCCTTCCTTTTCCTTCTTCCTTCCTTCCTTTCCTTCCTTGTTTCCTTCCTTCCTTCCTTCTTCCTTCCTTCCTTCTTCCTCCTCTTCTTCCTTCTCTTCCTTCTTCTTCCTCCTTCCTTCCTTCCTTCCTTTCCTTCCTTCCTTCCTTCCCTTCTTCTTCCTTCCTTCCTTATCTTCTTCTTCTTCCTTATCTTCTTCTTTATCTTCTTCTTTCTTTCTTTCTTTCTTTCTTTCTTGCTCTTTCTTTCTCCCGGGAAAGCACCAAAACGCTGATGCGCAGAGCGTTGGATTTACATATGATTTCCAGCGTCCTCCATCAAAGCGTTTGCCGTAGATCATTTTTTTCTCTGATCCAGCAAAAATAATCCATGCGTAGAGAAACCAATTGTCATGCATAAGCAGAGGACGGCCAGATGATTTGCATGAGAAAAACCAGCAACGACGGTATTAGCACCACTTTTATGAGAGGGAAAAACACTTTGAGGTGAATTTGCACACAGAGGGACACAGTTTGTACACTGTAGCGTTTTGTTCGGACAGCGGCGTGATGAGAAATACCTACAAAACAGTCAGCATTTTCCAGTGATGTGCCGGCTATTCTTTCTTCAAACATTAAATGCCTTTTTGAGCAACTTAGAATTGCTCCAGTAAATGCTGCAATAGTTCAAAGAGCTTTCTGCTATTATTATTGGAAACACAACAAGATGAGTCCACAGTAGACACTCTGCTGGCTGTTGTAGTGGATCACACGTCGGACACTTCCCAAGTGTCTAGGACTGTGTAATGTAATGGCAAATGATGTGTGCAGATCCCAGTAAAGTTGCCTTCTGCACCTGGCAAATGGTAATTTTGTCAGTGCCAATTGTGTTTAAGTGCAGGCCAAGGTCTTTAGGCACTGCACCCAATGTGCCGATCACCACTGGGACCACCTTGACTGGCTTGTGCCAGTCTTTGCCGTTCGATTTTTAAATCCTCATATTGTGTCAGCTTTTCCAGTTGTTTCTCTTCAATCCTGCTGTCACCTGGGATTGCAACATTGACAATCCATTATTATTATTATTATTAGTATTAGTATTAGTATTAGTATTAGTATTATTTGAAACACAACAAGATGAGTCCACAGCAAACAAGACCACTCTGCTGGCTATTGTATTGGATCACACATCAGACACTTCCCAAGTGTCTAGGACTGTGTGATGTATTGGCAAATAATACGTGCAGATCCCAGTAAGGTGGCCTTTTGCAGATGGTAATTTTGTCAGTGCTGATTGTGTTTAAGTGCAGGCCAAGGTCTTTAGACACTGCACCCAGTGTACCGATCTCCATTGGGACCATGTGACAGCACGAGTGGCGCCACCTATGCGTAGAACTGTTAGTTGCAAGATTTAAACTGTTGTATCATGCTTAATCGTGCCTTTTTACCCTGCCTATGTATAGTTGGATTGATTGGTTATTTATAGCTGTCAATCAATGTTGTTTGCACCAGTTGAATTGCTTTCTCAGCTCAATTGTTTGGCTCCACCTCTTCCTGGAGGAGGGGAGTGCTTCCCTTTTTCATTCCACCATCATATTTTCTACCAGATGGATGTGAGTAAGAGACTTGGCTCTAAAAGCCCCTGATTAAGTTACCTCTCAGCACCAATTCTGAGGTTCTTACCCTTGAGACTTATGCTTCATGTTCAGATCAACCTGAACGACGTTGGGAAGTCTCAAGCGCCTTCAAACCAGTTCCTTTGGCACCAGAGGAAGGCCTTGTCCCTTCAGATATAGGCCATTGGAATTGGGGTTGTGATTATTCCGATATTCACAGCCATTGAGGAAAGAGGAAACTTGGAAAAGCTTCTCAGCTGCAAACTCTTTGGACCCAAGACAAACAGAGACTATGATGTATATTTTCCTTCACCCCTTTGAAACTTCCAGCTTATTGCCTTAAAGAGATAACTCTTTGTGAACAATAAAACTTATTTTGAGTTATCTACAGTGTTTGGGTCTTTGAGAGTTCCAGTTTCCTAAAGGAGGGCAAGAAGCAATCCCCCGGGGAAAGATGTCACGTCCATGCCTCTTTCACTAAGAGTTATAGCCCCGAAGTACGACGACACAGAACACCTCAACTGTCTTGTTGTTGTTGTTGTTGTTGTTGTTGTTGTTGTTGTTATTCTGACACAAAACCACAGTATGTCACAGCAAACAAAATCTATATGCTGGATTTCATATCACAAAATCACAAGTTGAACACTTCCCAAGTGTTTAGGACTATGTGATGTATTTTTGAATGATGTGCGCAGATCCAAGTAAGGTGACCTTTTGCAGTTGACAGACGATGATTTTGTCAATGTGTATTGTTTCCAAATGTCGGCTAAGATCTTTTGGCACGGCACCTAGTGTGCCAATGACCACTGGGACCACCTGTACTGGTTGATGCCAGAGCCTTTGCAGTTCAAATTTGTGGTCTTGATAACGGCTGAGTTTTTCCAGTTGTTTTTTGTCAATTCAGCTGTCACCTGGAATGGCAACATCAATAATCCAGACATTTTTCTTTTCCACAATCGTGATGTCTGCTGTATTGTGTTCCAAAACTTTGTCAGTCTGGATTCAAAAGTCCCACAGTATTTTTGCTACTTGGAGAAATGCAGTCCTGAAGAAATTTAATTAATCGCTTAGGTGGATAGATAGAGGTTGACTTTGCTCAATATAGAGCCAGCATAAAAATATATGAGGTTAATGTATTGTCGAAGGCTTTCATGGCCAGAATCACTGGGTTGTTGTAGGTTTTTCCGGGCTATATGGCCATGTTCTAGAGGCATTTTCTCCTGACATTTCGCCTGCTTGCGGTTACTTGCTCTGTGGGTTTTGCTGAACTCTTGCACAACAAAAAAATGAGCGAAATTCTGAATGGGGAGACTTGTGAGTTTCTCTACATTGCAGAATTAATGCAGTTTGATACCACTTTTAACCACTATGGATCAGTTCAATGGGATCTTGGAATTGTAGTTTTACAACGTCGTTAGCCTTCTCTGCCTCAACAAAATACAAACCCCAGGTTTCCATTTCATTGAGTCATGGGAATTAAAGTGATGTCAAACTTCATTAATTCTACAGTGTAGATATCCACTCTTAGTTGGCCTTGGCTACCATACACAATTTAATTTTTGTTCAAGAAAGGAGATGGGATTCCCCATATCCCTTGCAGACATTATGATGTCAATAGCTGGAAAATAGAAAAATGATTTATGAAAGAGGAGAGTGACTCATGCTGCTGGCTGGTTTTGCAAGATCCTTGCTCTCTCTCACATATATATATATATATATATATATATATATATATATATTCCATTAAAAATTTCAGAACTTGTGTCATTACGGTCTCTAAGCTGCTTAAAAAGCTTGCGTAAGTTGCTAAAATTGCTTCCTTTCACTCAAGACATTATAAATGCAGGTATAATAAAAAATAAATCAACTTCATTATCAGACGGTCTAATGAAGTTTAGCATCTCAGCATTAAAACCTTCCCAAGTAAAGATAATTGTTAGTTTGGAGTTGCTTAAATTTTTTGGATAATAATGGGGGGGGGGGGGGAATCCACCTTGATTTTACATTTAACTTTCTCCATAAAGAGTGTTTTCAACACATCCTGTATCACAGGGAGGGTATCTACACTGTAGAAGTAATACAGTTTTATACCCCTTAATAGGAGCCCCCAGTGGCACAGTGGGGTAAACCGCTGAGCTGCTGAACTTGCTGACCGAAAGGTCGCAGGTTCGAATCTGAGGAGCGGAGTGAGCTCCCACTTTAACCCCAGCTTCTGACAACCTAGCAGTTCGATAACATGCAAATGTGAGTAATAATAATAATAAAGAATAATAATCTTTATTTATACCCCGCCACCATCTCCCCAAAGGGGACTCGGGGTGGCTAACATGAGGCCAAGCCCAAAGATACAATACAGCAAAATAAAACAACAACGAAAATGGCAGCCATTAGATGCCAGACATACGTAATAAATAAACTAGCAATATTAATACAAGCTAGTATTTAATAAAACCAGGTTTGATGAGGCACCAGACCTCTTGGGCAGAGAAGGCAGAAGACCTTGGAAAACTACAACTCCCAGGATTTCATAGCATTGTGGGGTCAATTCATTCTATGATATAGATTGGACCTGACTGCTTTTAAAATTCCTTCTACTTTTTCATAACATTTTTTGTCTTGTGTTTTCTTTTAGGCATTATTGGCAACAACAAAGCCATAGGGAAGTATATCACCACCATGATCTTTCTTTATTTCGCCTGCCTCCTGCCCTCCATCGCTTTCGGCTCCCTCAATGACGAAAACACAGAAGGAGTCATCGGTGAGGCTCGCAAAATTCACTGATTTGTGCTGTCCTTCGCTATCTTACTGGTGAAAACAAGGATCCGTGTAGCCAAGCAGCATCGAAATGTGGTCATGAACTTTCCAAAAGTTTAATGTTGGTGACACTCTTTTAAGACATGTAGACTTTTGCAACACAGTGATTCTGTTTTACTAGGAAGCTGGAGGTGAAACCAACCCCTTATGAGAGTTTCATATTATCTATCTATCTATATATATATAAATGCTCTGTGCATAATGAGCACCTTAAAAACAAAAGAACCAATGAACGAATTCGCACCAAATTTGGCAACAAAATGTCCCACAACACAAGGAGTGACCATCACTCAAAAAATTATGATTTTGTCATTTGGGAGTTGTAGTTTCTGGGATTTATAGTTCATCTACAATCGAAGAGTATTCTGAACTCTTATCAACGATGAATTGAACCAAACTTGGCACACAGAACTCCCATGACCAACAGAAAATACTGGAAGGGTTTGGTGGGCATTGACCTTGAGTTTGGAAGTTGTAGTTCACCTACAACCAGAGAGCATTGTGTACTCAAACAATGATGGATCTGGACCAAACTTGGCACAAGCACTCAATACGCCCAAATATGAACACAGATGGAGTTTGGGGGAAATAGACTTTGACATTTGGGATTTGTAGTCACTGGGCTTCACAGTTCACCTACAATTAAAGAGCATTCTGAACCCCACGAACTACAGAATCGGGGCAAACTTCCCACACAGAACCCCCACGACCAACAGAAAATACTTAAGGCCATCCAATCCAACTCCCTTCATCAGGGCAAGAAAATGTAATCAAAGCCCTCCTGACAAAGAGCCATCCATCCATAGATAGATAGATAGATAGATAGATAGATAGATAGATAGATAGATAGAGATAGATAGATAGATAGATAGATAGATAGATAGATAGATAGATAGATAGGTAGATAGGTAGGTAGATAGGTAGGTAGATAAATAGATAGATAGATAGATAGATAGATAGATAGATAGATAGATAGATATGATTCTCACACACAGAGATATAGTATCATAGATTTGAAAGGGACCCTTAAAGAAGGACAATGATATGTTGCATGTTCCAGAGTAGGCAAACCAGACACTCTCCACATCAACACTGACAAAGAAACAGCAAGAAATACTGTTTACCCACAAGCATAAAGAAATTACATATATTAGAAACCAACACTTTCTCATTACTTTATTTTCCAGATCAACAGACTGGGCCACAGCAACACGTGGCAGGGGACAGCTAGTTTAACATATAATATATAATATACTTTGTGCGTTTATGTATATGAATATATATGTGTGTGTGTACACATACATACTAGCTGTCCAAATTTCGTGTCAATTCCTCCAGTGGTTTTTGAGTTACGTTAATCTCACAAACGAACATTACATTTTTATTTATATAGACTAGCCACCTCCTGCTACGCATTGCTGTGGCCCACTCTGTGTATATGTGTATATGTGATGGTACAGCTGTACCAGGAGCTCCAATTCTGTTTGCTTTGCATTAAATGTTTGTTTGCAATCCCAGGATTGGGATTTTGCAGCAGGATGGCTTCCTGTTATAGTTTGCAATCATAGGGCAAGTCACCTGTCAATTATAGTTAGGTTCCCTGGTCCCGCCCCCTTTTTGGGTTTTGGTGGGAATAGGAGCCATTTTGAGTTCAGTCCACACCGAGCAGCTTTCCATACAGGACATGAAACCAAGAGCTCCTGTAGAAAGCTTCGTCTTCTATGGCTTGGCCGGGGAGATACAGCCCACAGCTTGGCTGAGGATTTTGCAGCCTTACAGCTCCTTTGCTGAAGGATTTTAGCCAGCCATCACCTAAACCTGAACTCCTTCTTTTCCCCTGGAAGTCTACAAAGCTCTGCTTGGTAAGGGTTGCTCGCAGAAGCCAGATGCAGTTGGTACCGGGTGCAGGGGCTCCACGCCAACAGAGGCAAAGACAGACTGCCCAGATTAGAAGTTAAGGATTTCCCCATTACTTAATTACAGTTAAGAAGATAGTGCCTGTTCCCAGTGGACAAGATTGCAAGAGCCAATAGACTGTTAAGAAAGCTTGAAAGTACCTGTTTGCTTTCACTAATAAAGAACATTGTTGAACCTTTAAGCAATCTAAAGACTCTGTTTTGGGGAGGTCCAAGGGCCTTTAATCTGAGGCAGCCCCAGCGTCCCGTTGGGCACACAGAATTTATGTCCTGTCTACAGTCTGATGCACAGGCCCAGCGTGCGACAGCACAGTATATGTGTGTGCATATATGTATACATTTGTGTTTTGCACATGCATTGTAATGTATTCTTTTTCCATTTTTTGGCTTTTCAAGTCTAAGGGAGATAACGAGAAAACAAATCCATGGCAATTCTTCCTTTACTGTTTGCAGTGCAGTTTGCAAAATGTGAATGCTAGAAGCCCATATTGGTTTCAATACCAATTTAGCAGTCATGGCTTTTCCGATATCATAAATCTTCTGAATGGGAGAAACCTGTTCCTGAACTGCAGCCGGTGCAAAATGCTGACGGAGACACTAAATGACATCAACTTTAATGGAATTGCGTTGGTTGCCAATACAGTCTGCCCTCCACATTCGCTGGCGTTAGGGGCAAAGGAACTTTGCAAAAATGAAAGACAGCAAAAAAAAAAGAGCAATTTTTAGTCATTGTTATTTGCCATCCCTTTTAATTTTTGCATGTGGGATTTTTGCAAAATTCACTATTTAAGAGAGCAAAGGGTAGAGCTTTGTGGGGTTAACTGTTGTGGATTTGGTTATTAGACAGCTGCATTAAATCACTACTGACCAAGAGGTCATAGATTCATAGAATCATAGAGTTGGAAGAGACCTCATGGGCCATCCAGTCCAACCCCATCTGCCAAGGAGCAGGAAAATTGCATTCAAAGCACCCCCGACAGATGGCCATTCAGCCTCTGTTTAAAAGCTTCCAAAGAAGGAGCCTCCACAACACTCCGGAGCAGAGAGTTCCACTGCTGAATGGCTCTCACAGTCAGGAAATTCCCTATGACTTCTTCTCACATATTTATACATGGCTATCATGTCTCCTCTCAGCCTTCTCTTCTTCAGGCTAAACATGCTCTGCTCTTTAAGCCACTCTTCGTAGGACTTGTTCTCCCGACCCTTGATCATTTTAGTCGCCCTCATCTGGACACATTCCAGCTTGTCAATATCTCTGTCTCTCATGAGTTCAAAGCCAGCCTGGGCTGGAGTAAGCTCCCGACCATTAATAGTCTAGCTTGCTGTTGACCTATGCAGCTTGAAAGACAGTTGCCTCTGTCAAGTAGGAAATTTAGGTACCGCTTTATGCGGGGAGGCTAATTTAACTAATTTACGACACCATAAAACCTTCCAGCAGCATGCAGATGAATGAGGAAGTACTCCCATCAAGGACTCGGTGTCACAAGTGGCTAGTGAAGTGACAGCTCCCCCTGTGGCCAGAACCGAGCATACCCTCATGAAGCTGGAAAAGGCTGGAATGTTAAATTGCCTCTGTGTCTGTCTATATATGTTGTATATCTAAATCGCATTGAATGTTTGCCATGTATATGTGCATTGTAATCTGCCCTGAGTCCCCTGCAGGTTGAGAAGGGCGGAATATAAATACTGTAAATAAATAAATAAATATTAGCAGATTGAATTTATATATATTTTTTCCGGCAATCTCAAATGCTACTGTATAAAAGGTTTTAAGACACTGTCTTTCTTTTCGCACTTTCATTTCCAGATGTGCAGAAAACCATCGTTGGCCAATGCATCGGCGGGCTTCTTTATGCTCTGTTTTCAGGCCAGCCGCTTGTAGTGCTCCTAACGACAGCACCTTTAGCCCTGTACATCAATGGTGAGTGCATCCCAGCCATTTGCATGCTCAGATAGGTCATCAATAAGCCCAATGCTCCCTTTCAGCAACTTTCCGTAATACTCAAGAGATTTGCCATTGCCTTCCTCTGAGGCTGAGACAGTGTGACTTTCCGAAGGTAATGCATTGGATTTCATGGATGAATAAGAACTCAAACCTTCGTCACCCAGAGTCGTAGTCCAATGCTCGGATTAATATATCATAACTGTTCTCATTTGGCTCAATTGGCTGCCGTTCATTTTCCGGACCCAGTTCAAGGTGCAGGTTATCACCTACAACGCCCTGAACAGTTTGGGACCTACCTTCGTGACTGCATTTCCCCTTATGAACCTGCCCGATCTCTTCGATCTTTGGGGGAAGCCCTCCTCTTGCTCCTGCCTCAGTCGCAAGCGCGACTTGTGGGATCAAGCGAGAGGGCCTTCTCCATGGTGGCCCCTCAGTTCATAGAATCATAGAATCAAAGAGTTGGAAGAGACCTCATGGGCCATCCAGTCCAACCCCATTCTGCCAAGAAGCAGGAATATTGCCTTCAAAGCACCCCTGACAGATGGCCATCCAGCCTCTGTTTAAAAGCTTCCAAAGAAGGAGCCTCCACCACACTCCGGGGCAGAGAGTTCCACTGCTGAACGGCTCTCACAGTCAGGAAGTTCTTCCTCATGTTCAGATGGAATCTCCTCTCTTGTTCTGGAACTTGCTCCCCAGGGAGATTAGGCAAGCACCCACTCTGGCAGCCTTTAGAAAAAGTTTAAAAACTTGGCTTTTCCTTGTGCGCTTTTGAAGAATGAATGCCTAATTCCCATGTCAGGTCCTGTCTCAGTGTCAATTGTCTTTCTGGTGCACTTTATCTCATCCCTCAGTTGAGAATAACCACATTGTTTTTTTTTGTTTTGTTTTGTTTTATTAAAACTGTTTATTTTGATTATGGTACATAACAAAAAAGCAAATCATGGCAAATATACCAATGGCAAAGGTAGCAATATTTTTGACGTGTACATGCCTATCTACCTTATTCAATCAATCAGTTAATTTTGACATAGAATCATAGAATCATAGAATCAAAGAGTTGGAAGAGACCTCTTGGGCCATCCAGTCCAACCCCATTCTGCCAAGAAGCAGGAATATTGCATTCAAATCACCCCTGACAGATGGCCATCCAGCCTCTGTTTAAAAGCTTCCAAAGAAGGAGCCTCCACCACACTCCGGGGCAGAGAGTTCCACTGCTGAACGGCTCTCACAGTCAGGAAGTTCTTCCTCATGTTCAGATGGAATCTCTTCTCTTGTAGTTTGAAGCCATTGTTCCGCGTCCTAGTCTCCAGGGAAGCAGAAAACAAGCTTGCTCCCGCCTCCTCCCTGTGGCTTCCTCTCACATATTTATACATGGCTATCATATCTCCTCTCAGCCTTCTCTTCTTCAGGCTAAACATGCCCAGCTCCTTAAGCCGCTCCTCATAGGGCTTGTTCTCCAGACCTTTTATCATTTTAGTCCTCCTCTGGACACATTCCAGCTTGTCAATATCTCTCTTGAATTGTGGTGCCCAGAATTGGACACAATATTAAGTACAAATTATTATCATTTACATATCTTAATACACATAGACTTGCTATTTCTGCCTGTTTTCCACTACTTTCAGTGAAAGCTTTCTATTAAAAATTTTTTCCATAACATTCAGGAAATCAGCACATGGCATTTTACACACATCAGACCTTACACTCATCCCAAAACCCCTATCCTAAACAAAATAAACCCTCATCCCCACATTCATTGTTTATCCCACCCGAGTCCCTCACTAAATACAGCACTTAATTGACCTCACCCACGGGTTTTACAATTTTTACTCCTCGCACTTGGTGCAGCCCATTTAAATTCTTGTACTGTTTTAATACTCTGTTATTGTTACTCCTTTATTGGTTTATTATGTTATTGTATAAGCATTTTTATTTGATGTTGTCGTGTGTCTTGTATGTATTTTATTTTGCTTTATTGTAATTTATCGGGCTTGGCCCCATGGTAGCCATGCCGAGTCCCTTCGGGGAGATGAAGGCGGGGTACAAAAAAAGTTATTATTACTTACTTACTTACTTTACTTAGACGATCCCTCGTTGCCCGAATAGGACAATCCATATTTTGTTTTTTTAACACGATCGTGAGGTCAGGAGTGTTGTTGTTGCTGTTGTTGTTGTTATTTAGTTCCCGTGTGTTAATGTCCTTCGACTTAATGGCAGTCTCGTGAATTGCATAAGGTCGTTTAGGCAAGAAATTTTCAGAAGAGATTTTGCCAGCTTCTTCATCTGAAATAAAGCCTACAGAACCTGTTTTTCAGTGATACTAACCTAAATTACTAACCTAAATGAGATGATGTTGCTTAGCTGCTAGGATCAGAAAAGACAACTTGCACCATAGTGTGTGCAAAAATGCACACCCATTTACTTCTTGTGCTGATGTGGATAAATTCATAAAGTTGGAAGAGGCCCCAAAGGCCATCCAGTCCAACCCCGTTTTTGCTAGGCAGGAAGACACAATCCAAGCCTTCCCAACAGATGGCCATTCAACCTCTGCTGAAAAACCTCCAGAGAAGGAAGGAGACTCCACCAGACTCCCAAGTAGCATATTCCAATATTGAATACCTGTCAGGAATATTTAGGTGGAATCTCTTTCCTGCAGAGAATCATAGAATCAAAGAGTTGGAAGAGACCTCATGGGCCATCCAGTCCAACCCCCTGCCAAGAAGCAGGAATATTGCATTCAAATCACCCCTGACAGATGGCCATCCAGTCTCTGTTTAAAAGCTTCCAAAGAAGGAGCCTCCACCACACTCCAGGGCAGAGAGTTCCACTGCTGAACGGCTCTCACAGTCAGGCAGTTCTTCCTCATGTTCAGATGGAATCTCCTTCTCTTGTAGTTTGAAGCCATTGTTCCGCGTCCTAGTCTCCAGGGAAGCAGAAAACAAGCTTGCTCCCTCCTCCCTGTGGCTTCCTCTCACATATTTATACATGTCTATCATATCTCCTCTCAGCCTTCTCTTCTTCAGGCTAAACATGCCCAGCTCCTTAAGCTGCTCCTCATAGGGCTTGTGCTCTAGACCCTTGATCATTTTAGTCGCCCTCCTCTGGACACATTCCAGCTTGTCAATATCTCTCTTGAATTGTGGTGCCCAGAATTGGACACAATTTGAATCCATTCCTCATTTCAGCTTTCTTTTCTGCAAACTAAGCATCCTCAGTTCCCAAAGACATTAGAAGGCTCGGTAATCTCAAGGAATAGCTATCTGGAACACGCAGCACCACTTGGCCCAAGGTCCCATCTACAGTGACCATTTAATCCAGTTCAAACCTAGCTTTAAACTGTAGTTGCTAGTCAATGAATGCCCACAGAAGTGCTCCCCAAAAAGCCCTACTGCGCATCAGTGCTCTGTGTTTCGTGTGATCGCCATCCGGTACTCGGATGTTGGTTTCCCTTCTCTGGATGTGTTCTAGCTTGCCAATATCCTTGTACAAGCCTTGGAGTTGCCCACATCTTCACTGACTCCTGGAGATTCCTAGGGAAGTGTTTTCTCACGTTTATTGGGGATGTTTCCACTTTTTGTAGGGATCCAAGCCCTTTATTTACAGGAGGGCCCCTTGTATTGATATACGCACCCTGCTTTCTTGTTTCCAGTCATCAAGGGCATCTGCGATGATTACAACTTGCAGTTCAGCGCTTTCTACGCCTGGGTGGGGCTCTGGAACAGCTTCTTCCTCGTGGTCTACTCCCTCTTCAACTTCAGTCTTGTCATGAAGCTCTTCAAAAGGTAACCATTTTTAATTTTATAAGCGGATGTTGCAAGTGGGAAATTATTCGCAGGTAATAAACACACACACACGGATCTTCTTCGTTCCCTTGATTTCATATCTTGTCATTTTAAATTTCGAAATTATTAACTTAGCAAAATGTTTGACATTTTTAGTAGCAAGACCCGACTATTTTGCATCTGATCCAAGTATGTCAAGCTGTCCCTGAGAACAAGAAACATGTCTGATGACAAGATTATATTTTTTTCATTATTAATTATATTTTTTTCATTATGAATATTTTATCTTAATTATGTTTGGATATGATATTGGTATGTTTTTGTGGTTGCATCCAAGAGTCTGGTTAGCTGGTGTGAACTAAACTTGGATATGCGTTTGTGTCCCAAACACAAAACCCTATTAAGATTTTCTTGGAATGCATTGCAAGTCTTGTCGAAGGCTTTCATGGCCGGAATCACTGGGTTGTTGTAGATTTTTTTCGGGCTATGGCCATGTTCTAGACGCATTCTCTCCTGACATTTTGCCTGCATCTGTGGCAAGCATCCTCAGAGGTTGTGAAGTCTGTTGGAATTAGGACAATGGGTTTATATATCTGTGGAATGACCAGGTTGGGGCAAAGGACTCTTGTCTGCTGGAGCTAGGTGTGAATGTTTCAACTGACCACCTTGATTAGCATTTGATTGCCTGACAGTGCCTCTAGCCATCTTTTGTTGAGAGGTGTTTGATGTGCCTGATTGTTTACTCTCTGTTGTTTTGCTGTTGTAATTTTAGACTTTTTTTAATACTGGTAGCCAGATTTTGTTCATTTTCATGGTTTCTTCCTTTCTGTTGAAATTGTCCACATGCTTGTGGATTTCAATGGCTTCTCTGTGTAGTCTGACATGGTGGTTGTGAGAGTGTTCCAGCATTTCTGTGTTCTCAAATAATATGCTGTGTCCAGGTTGGTTCATCAGGTGCTCTGCTATGGCTGACTTCTCTGGTTGAGTGAGTCTGCAGTGCCTTTCATGTTTCTTGTTTCGTGTCTGGGCATTTCTGCGTTTGGTGGTCCCTCTGTAGACTTGTCCACAGCTGCATGGTATACGGTAGACTCCTGCAGAGGTGAGAGGATCCCTCTTGTCCTTTGCTGAACGGAGCATTTGTTGGATTTTCTTGGTGGGTCTGTAGATAGTTTGTATGTTGTGTTTCCTCATCAGCTTCCCTCTGCGGTCAGTGGTTCCCTTGATGTCTGGCAGGAACACTTTTCCTCTGGGTGGATCTTCATCTTGACTCTCGTGGCTTGTTCTTGGTCTTGCAGCTCTTCTGATGTCTGAGGTGGAGTCTCCATTGGCCTGGAGAGCCCAGTTGAGGTGGTTCAGTTCATCTTGGAGGAGGTGGGCTTCGCAGATTCTTTTTGCACGGTCTGCCAAGGCTTTAATGGGGCTTCTTTTTTGACTTGGGTGATGGTTGGAGTTTTATGTAGATATCTATCTGTGTGTGTGGGTTTTCTGTAGACGGTGTGACCCAATTGTTGATCTGGTTTGCGGATGACTAGGACATCTAGAGGCAGTCTTCCTTCATTTTCTTTTTCCATGGTGAACTGGATGTTTGGGTGGATGCTGTTGAATGGTCCAGGAACCTGTTGAGTTCTTCTTCTCCATGGCTCCAAATGGTGAAAGCGTCATCCACATATCTGAACCATATCGTGGGCTTTTTGTTGCTGTTTCCAGGGCTTGTTTTTCAAAGTGTTCCATGTAGAAATTAGCTATGGCTATATATATATATGGCCAAGTCTGCCTTCTGATTATTATTATTAATAATAATAATCATCATCATCATCTTTATTTATACCCTACCACATCTCCCTGAAGGGGACTCAGGGCAGCTAACATGGGGTCACGCCCAAAGATACAATACAGCAGAATAAAATACAAAAAACAGACAACAAAATTTCATCAGAATAAAATACATACAATAGCAAAGTAAAATAAATAAAGCAAATTGACATAGCATAAAATTGGGCACAATGGGCAGGCCAAATGGACGAGGTAAAATGATCAAAGAAAGCATAAGGATTATATTGTCGAAGGCTTTTATGGCCGGAATCACCGGGTTGTTGTAGTTTTTTTCAGGCTATATGGCCATGGTCTAGAGGCATTCTCTCCTGACGTTTCCCCTGCATCTATGGCAAGCATCCTCAGAGGTAGTAAGGTCTGTTGGAACTAGGAAAATGGGTTTATATATATCTGTGGAATGACCAGGGTGGGACAAAGGACTCTTGTCTGCTGGAGCTAGGTGTGAATGTTTCAACTGACCACCTTGATTAGCATTTGATGGCCTGGCAGTGCCTGGGGAAATCTTTTGTTGAGAGGTGATTAAATGTCCTTGTTTGTTTCCTCTCTGTTGTTTTGCTGTTGTAATTTTAGAGTTTTTTTTAATACTGGTAGCCAGATTTTGTTCATTTTCGTGGTTTCCACCTTTCTGTTGAAATTGTCCATGTGCTTGTGGATTTCAGTGGCTTCTCTGTGTAGACTGACATGGTGGTTGTGAGAGTGGTCCAACATTTCTGTGTTCTCAGATAATCTGCTGTGTTCAGGCTGGTTCATCAGGTGCTCTGCTATGGCTGACTTCTCTGACTGAAGTAGTCTGCAGTGCCTTCCATGTTCCTTAATTCGTGTCTGGGCAATGCTGCTGCGTTTGGTGGTCTCTATGGAGACTTGTCCACAGCTGCAGGGTATATGGTAGACTCCTGCAGAGGTGAGGGGATCCCTTTTGTCCTTTGTTGAATGTAGCATTTGTTGGATTTTCTTAGTGGTCTGTAGATAGTTTGTAGTTTGTGTTTCGTCATCAGCTTCTCTATTGCGATCTAAACAATGATTGGCACAAAACAGGGTTTGGTGCAATATCTGAACATCAGCTTAGATTCCAAACTACCAAAGTTGAGCTTGAACGTTCTTAGAAATGCTTAGACCCTTCGCCAATGAGGTTGCAAAACTGTGTCTGTGCACTTTGATATCATTTCCTCTGCAAAAGCTACTTCTCAGTGGATCAAGATACGTATGCAATTGGTTTCACTTCTTCTGCTCTCTTTTGGTGTTGACAGCTTCCCTCCTTGTGTCTCTGCAGGTCGACAGAAGAAGTCATTGCACTTTTTATCTCCATCACCTTTGTGCTCGATGCCCTTAAAGGGATAACCAAAGGTAAGTCCTGAGGGAAACCAGGCAATAGCATGGCTGCATATGTCCAGTAACAGAGGAAATCACAGAAATATAGAGTTGGAAAAGACCCTAAGGACCATCCAGACTGACCTCATTCTGCCAGGCAGGAAGACACTATCCAAGCACCCCTGTTTAAAAGCCTCCAGAGAAGGAGATGTCAGAAATATTAAAAAATTAACTAGGCCTTTTTATTACAAAAATGTGAGTCAAGAACTGAAAGGGATAAATGGATGCAATGACTCAGCAAAAGCTGCAGTTCAATATAAGCAGGTGTGCCTATAGCTTAGAAGCCCTCAGTCTGTGAGAGGTTTCCTACGTCCAACACCGCTGGAGAAATTATTCTGTTTAGCCAGTATTGCACTACCTGACATCCACCAGGAAGTAGCATCCAGTAATGAAAGGACCAAGGCATGGACATCTCCGTTCCATCCTCTGTTCGGATATCAGCCAGCATGCCAACGCCTTAAATCAAGAAACAGTTTCTTAAAATCTACAGAGCTACTCGCAAGAACACCTTAGCAAGCGAGAGTCCAAAAGTGGCAGGCTAAAACCCAGAACCTCAAGCCATGGCTGATACCAAATGAGAGACTCCCCCCTGGGCATAGAGAAGACTGGACGACTTGGAAGGTGCTGAACAGACTGCGCTCTGGCACCATGAGATCTTAAGATATGGGACTACAAAGTGGAATCCATGACATGCGAGTGTGGAAAAGATCAAACCACTGACCACCTGCTGCAATGCAACCTGTGCCCTGCCACATGCACGATGGAGGACCTTCTTGCGGCAACACCAGAGGCACTCCAAGTGGCCAGATACTGGTCAAAGGACATTTAATAGAATGCCAAGTTTGCAAACTTTGTGGGTTTTTTGTTTCTTTGTTTTTAATACAATACAACTGTTTGGTTCGCTCCTGACATGATAAATAAATAAATCCACATATTGTGGTATCCACAGGGTTCCTGAAATCAAATGCCAGTGGATACTCTGTGCTTCTGTCCCTTCAATCCAAATCAATGCATTCCAGGTCTTCCTGCTCTTTCTCTGTGGAACTGTTAACTTTGTGTGGGAATGCCCTTCTCATCACTCCAGATGTCCCGTTTCCTTCCAAAGGGACGATCAACTTTGTATTTATCTCAATTTTCTGGTGCCTTTTTTGCTCCGTCAGCGATGCCGGAAAGAAAGAGGAGGGGGTCGATGGCACGGCCAAGCCCTTTTGTCGCCCTGACCGTGAATGTTTGTGTGCAAATCTGGGAGTTCAAGCCACACATGATATTTTTCTCCAGCCGGGCGGGTGACCCTGTTGTTTTTGCAAGGTTTGCTGACTCAGGCCCCCGAAGCTTTGCTCTTGTTTGATCTTGACTTCTGCACTTTGCAGGAAACAGCCAGGCAGCAGCTGAAGCAAACAAGAAAGGCAAACTACGGGATCGGAGGGACCTTAAATAACTCCCTCTGCTAGGAGAGGTCTCCCGTCACTTAGGAAGTCGCAGCTGCCTTGTGTTATTTAACGCCCCGTAATCCCCCCCCCTTGCTGCAAAGGGATTCATCCGGCTGCTGTTCTGGGCTGCGTCCATCTGAGTTGGCCACAGGGCCCTTGCTACAAAATCCTTGCTAAGTGGCAAGGGATGACTGCTGGAATGCCAGCCATTTCTGAACAAATTCCCATGGTGGGAAAGATGCTTCCACTGCCGTACATGGCGTTGGGCTTCTAGAAGTTGAACTCTCTTTGGGTTAGTGTTGAGAAGTGGCTGAGTGCCATCAAATCGTCTCCAACGTACAGCGAACATATTGACAAGATATGTCAGCACACATGCACATTAGGTCCAAGTATCTGGAGTTTGTCTCTCAATATCGGGCTCTTCCCAAAAACCTAGGATATTAGAGGTATTTTCGCAAAATGTACACAATTCCAAAAGTGCTGCCTTCCTTCTGCAGCATGTGGATTGATGTTCTGTCTAAATTAAGGCTTTTCCAGTGCTTTTTGAGGTTTCTTGGAATGCCTACAAGCGCACCAACCACTATTGGTACCACTGTTGTTCTCTTTTGCCATAGTCATTCCAGTTTCAATTTGCAAGTGATATTTTCCAGCTTTTTGTCCTCAAATCTACTGTCTCCTGGTTCTACAAATGTCTATTGTTGTTGTTGTTGTTGTTGTTGTTGTTATTTATATCCTGCTTTTTCTCTCCATAAGGATACTCAATCATATTATATTATTATATATATATTATATATATAATGTATATTATTTATAATGTATGTATATCAGGTATGGACCAGGACAGTGGCAGATGGGTGGAGAGTGTTTGTGTTAACTATTTCACACAATGCAAAAAGAAAGAAAGAAAGAACAATACAATATTTAAAATGAAGACCAATCAGAGCACCCTGAATAGATGGTCAGTTAGCCATAATAATAATAATAATAATAATAATAATAATAATAATAATAATAATAATAATAGCCGAAATCCCAGAGGCCATTCAGTCCAATCTCCTTCTGCTATGCAGAAAAAACACAAGCAAAGCACCTCTGACAGATGGCCATCCAGCCTTTGTAATAATAATAATAATAATAATAATAATAATAATAAAAATAAATAACAATAGTAGAAACCCCAGAGGCCATCCAGTCCAATCCCCTTCTGTTATGCAGAAAAAACACAATCAAAGCATCTCCAACAGAGTGGGACTGTGATTTCTCTTAATCTAGAGACACTACTGTTTTTGTAGCCTGGAATAATAATAATAATAATATGACAAACATTCAGTGCCATACAGTACTAAACAAAGAACGAACTAACCAAAACAAGAATTGCATTGGCTTTTTTAGTTGCAATTTTAGACTGTGGAGAAGGAGACCCCACTGCTGTCTGGACATTCAGCGGAGCCTCCTTCTCTGGATGTTTTTAAACGCAGACTGGATGGCCATCTGTTGGAAGAGCTCGGATGGTGTCTTCTTACATGGCAGAATGGGACTGGACTGGGTGGCCTTTGGGGGTCTCTTCCAGCTCTTATCATTCTATGATCCTCCGCAATGCCAGAAATACAGCTTAATGGCATAACATTAGAAAATGTTGACCATTTCTGTTACCTCTCAACAAAAGTAAACATTGACACCAAAATACAACACTGCCTGAGCTCTGCGAGTGCAGCATTTTTCCAAATAAAGCAGAGCATTTGAGGATCGAGACATCCGTAGGGATACCAAGGTGCTTGTTTATAAAGCTATTGTCCTCCCAGCCCTGCTATATATCTGCGAAACGTGGACTGTCTACAGATGTCACATGCAACTCCTGAAACGATTCCATCAGCATTGCCTCTGAAAAATCCTGCTAATCTCTCGGGAAGACAGGTGGACAAATGTCAGCATGCTGGCAGAAGCGAAGACCACCAGCACTGAAGCGATGCCCCTACGTCATGATCTCCACTGGACTGGCCACGTTGTCCGAATGCCCAAAGATCACCGTCTCCCAAAGCAGTTACTCTACTCCAAACTCAAGAATGGGAAACATAATGTTGGAAGACAGGAAAAGAGATTGAAAGATGGGCTTAAAGCCAACCTTAAAAACTGTGGCATAGACACCGAGAACTAGGAAGCCCTGGCCTTTAAGTGCTTTAACTGGAAGTCAGCTGTGACCAGCAGTGCTGCAGAATTTGAAGAGACATGAATGGAGGATGAAAGAGAGAAACATGTCAAGAGGAAGCCGCATTAAGCCAACCCTGACCAGGACCACCTTCCAGATGGAAACGAAAGTCCTCACTGTGGGAGAACACACGGATCAAGAACAGGGCACCATGGCCAACGCCAAGACACTTCACTTGGAGGACAATCATCCTTGGACTACAAGGGATCACCTAGGTAAGTAAGTAAGTAAGTAGAGTATGATCCTGTATTACTTATGAAGTTAAACGTGATCCATACTTCTACAAGGATAATATATTTTGACTTGAGTGCTATGCATCTGGTCACCATCAAGATCTTAATTCCGCCCTTCTTTTGCTTTTAGTTTTTACCCATTACTACCACGTCCCCAGACCGCACAGCGCCCCAGTTGGCAATGGCTCCAGCGCATGGAACCTGTCGGTGGAGCGGTCATCGTTGGGGAACCAGACGGACGGGTCTTCTGCCCCGGTGCCCTACGGGCGCGAGACAGCCGTCCTGAGCCTCATGCTGATGCTGGGCACCCTTTGGCTCGGCCACACCTTGTACCAGTTCAAGAAAAGGTACCTTGGCGCACCGCATTTCCCCTTCTGTGCATAACATTCCTTGGAAGAAATGCAAAATTATTGTTGCTGTTGTTGTTTTTATCACCCTCATCATTGCAGTAGACCAGGCATGGGCACACTTTGGTCCTCCAGGTGTTTTGGACTTCAACGCCCGCCATTCTTAACAGCCTCATGCCCCTTCCTTTTCCCCCTCAGCCGCTTAATTCTTCAATTTTTTATGGATACACACACACACACACACACACATATATATTGCCCTAACAATATTTCTTCCCTCTTTGCAGCCCTTATTTGCACGCCAGAGTCCGCGAGATCCTGTCCGATTGTGCCTTACCCATTTCTGTCCTCACCTTCTCCATTATTGGGTCCTATTTCTTCAAAGAAATAAAAAGTAAGTGAATGTTTTAGCTCCTAATACTGGGCTGATAGAGGGGGGAAACCCAAGGAATCAGGCAGCAAATTGTGGAATTCCATTCCCAAGAATTAACCTCTCTCTCGTTAGCAAGCCTTGCACTACGGCGAACTCTGAATTGTAAGCGATCCTCCGTATCTAAATCTTCAGAGCTCTCAAGGTCGGATAGCTCGTTATGCGCCTGAGAATCGTCAGGCTGGGAGCCATCCTCTTCCAACTGCACCTGGCTAGTTTCACTTATATCAGAAACATCACCTGAAACCTTCCTTGCCATGGGAAACTGAATCTCCTCGGATTCTTCTTCAAAAACAACAGGAACATCTTCATGAATCTGAATCCCATCATCTTCTGCCTGAGGCTCCAGCTGAGCCACAACAAAGACTCCCTCCGGCGAAGAGTGGGCGACTTGGCGAAGAGTGGGCAACTCGGAGGCACTCAGCAGGCTGCACTCTAGCACTACAAGATGCAGAACCAACCTTACTTGCAGGAACACCTCAGCAAGCAAGAGTCCACAAGTGGCAGGCTGAAACTCAGAACCTCAATCAGTGGCTGAAACCAGATGAGAGACTCCCTCCTGGGCACACAGAAGAGTGGGCGACTTGGAAGGCACTCAGCAGGCTGCGCTCTAGCACTGCAAGATGCAGAACCAACCTTACTTGCAGGAACACCTCAGCAAGCATGAGTCCACAAGTGGCAGGCAAAACTCAGAACCTCAATCAGTGGCTGAAACCAGATGAGAAACTCCCTCCTGGGCACACAGAAGAGTGGGCGACTTGGAGGCACTCAGCAGGCTGCGCTCTAGCACTACAAGATGCAGAACCAACCTTACTTGCAGGAACACCTCAGCAAGCAAGAGTCCACAAGTGGCAGGCTGAAACTCAGAACCTCAATCAGTGGCTGAAACCAGATGAGAAACTCCCTCCTGGGCACACAGAAGAGTGGGCGACTTGGAGGCACTCAGCAGGCTGCGCTCTAGCACTACAAGATGCAGAACCAACCTTACTTGCAGGAACACCTCAGCAAGCAAGAGTCCACAAGTGGCAGGCTGAAACTCAGAACCTCAATCAGTGGCTGAAACCAGATGAGAGACTCCCTCCTGGGCACACAGAAGAGTGGGCGACTTGGAAGGCACTCAGCAGGCTGCGCTCTGGCACTACAAGATGCAGAACCAACCTTCGGAAATGGGGGTTCAAAGTGGAGTCCACAACATGCGAGTGCGGAGAAGAACAAACCACAGACCACCTACTACAATGCAGCCTGAACTCTGCCACATGCACAATGGAGGGCCTTCTCACAGCCACACCAGAGGCACTTCAAGTGGCCAGCTTCTGGTCAAAGGAAATTTAATATAATGCCAAGTTTTTAACTTTGTGTTTTTTCTATGCATTCTAACTGTATTCTCAGTTTGCTTCTGACATGATAAATAATAGTTCCCCCCAGACTTCACAATCAGAGTTAATTCATGCAGCGAACCCATCAAACGAGAAGGTCTCAGCAGGGTCTGTTTGATCCCTGTGAGTTTTTCCTGCCTGTAATTCAATTAAAACGGCACTTTCTGATTGTGTTGATCTTTCGGATTGTTGCGGCAAGGAACAAAAGGCACGAATAATTAGCCAAGGCAGGAAGGCAAGTGTGCAGATGCAAAGCTGATGAGTTTGACCTGCGCTTTTTCCTTTCCCCCTTGATACTACTTTAGATATATTTTCCCCTAATTAAAATGCTCTAATAGTTTGGGAACATCTGGTTGGATTATCGCAAGGAAACCTACAGAATCGCCCTTGGGCCAAACAGATCACCTTTTCCACATCAGGAAGGGAGGCAGGAATTGTATGCATTAGGCGATGACGCGGATGGGAAATGAATGGAAACGAATTAAGGAAAATACCTTCACCCCATCCCTTCAAACAGGGAAAGTGTCCGATTTGCGTGAGTGTGGTTGACTTCCTTCATGACCATTGCTCCCTTGGAGCATTACAACCCATGGCATGGCTTTCAAAGAGGAAAGGCTCAGAAATGGCGCTTCTTTCAAAGGAGGGATGAAAGATTTAGCTCTGGTCTTTGCCCCATCTTCACGTGTGGTTGTTTTCCCGTGATACAGCTGCCTTCCCATCTGCAACGGAGAAAAACATGGTTGTTTTGGCACATATCGGATGTTGGGTACATGTCACCGCAAGGTGGCTTGAGGATAATCTCTGGACATGGCTTTGGTTGGGTTGTTGTTGTTGTCGTCGCCGCTGTTGGCCATCAAGCCAGGCCTGTGAATGAGAGACCTCCTCTATGGTACTAACCTGCCTCCTGCTTTGCTTTTCAGTGTCGAAATTTAACTACAACAAATCGGAGAGCTTGTTCGAGTTGGCGCCCCTCCGGGACCTCTCCATCGGCTCCGTCCTGAGCGCCATGGGCCTCGGGTTCCTCCTTTCCATGCTTTTTTTCATAGAGCAGAATATTGTGGCATCGCTCACAAATGCCCCAGAGAACAGGTAATTTATTCCAGGGAATCTGCTCTATTGCTTTCGTGTCGCCATGCACGTCGGTTGACCTTCGGGACATCATTTGTCTGTATTTATTCTGGAGATGGTGGTTCAAGTCTCATGAAAACCTTCTAGGCAAGTCACACACTCTTAGCCCTTGCCCATGATTTGGGGGGGGGGGGTTTGAAGCCCCTCAAGCCCCCCCCCCGAAATTCTCAGGGTGGTCCGCGAGAAGGCCTTTCAGGTACATTATTCAAACTGTTACGTTCATTCATATCATGATCTGATCACCATGCTCAATATATCCCATATGCATGGGGGTATTGGGATAATGATACAAAAGGTTTTGCTAGGGTAGATCCTGAGTTGTCGTCGTCCCCGAATCAAGCTCAGCCCCTCCAAATCAATCACACCCCCCCCGAATCGAACTCAACCCCCCGAATCAAACTCAACCCCCCGAATCAAACTCAGCCCCCCCGAATCAAACTCAACCCACCGAATCAAACTCAGCCCCCCCGAATCAAACTCAACCCCTCCAAATCAAACTCAGCCCCAATCAAACTCAGCCCCCCGAATCAAACTCAGCCCAATCAAACTCAGCCCCCCGAATCAAACTCAGCCCCCCGAATCAAACTCAACCCCCGAATCAAACTCAGCCCCCCGAATCAAACTCAGCCCCCCGAATCAAACTCAGCCCCGAATCAAACTCAGCCCCCCCGAATCAAACTCAGCCCCCTGAATCAAACTACCCCCCCAAATCAAACTCAGCCCCCCCGAATCAAACTCACCCCCCTGAATCAAACTCAGCCCCCGAATCAAACTCACCCCGAATCAAACTCAGCCCCCCGAATCAAACTCAGCCCCGAATCAAACTCAGCCCCCCCCGAATCAAACTCAACCCCCCGAATCAAACTCAACCCCCCGAATCAAACTCAGCCCCCCGAATCAAACTCAACCCACCGAATCAAACTCACCCCCGAATCAAACTCAACCCCCCGAATCAAACTCAACCCCCCCGAATCAAACTCAGCCCCCCCGAATCAAACTCAACCCACCGAATCAAACTCAGCCCCCCCGAATCAAACTCAACCCCCCGAATCAAACTCAACCCCCCGAATCAAACTCAGCCCCCCCGAATCAAACTCAGCCCCTCCGAATCATATCACAGCCCCCTTAATCAAACTCAACCCCCGAATCAAACTCAGCCCCGAATCAAACTCAACCCCTCCGAATCAAACTCAGCCCCCCAATCAAACTCAGCCCCCTCGAATCAAACTCAGCCCCCGAATCAAACTCAGCCCCCCCGAATCAAACCAACCCCCCGAATCAAACTCAGCCCCCCAATCAAGCTCAGCCCCCCCGAATCAAACTCAGCCCCCCGAATCAAACTCAGCCCCCCAAATTAAACTCAGCCCCCCGAATCAAACTCAGCCCCCTCGAATCAAACTCAGCCCCCCCAAATCAAACTCAGCCCCCCCCCCCCCCCCCCTCCCCGAATCAAAATCCTGGCTATGGGCCTGTCTCAGACCAACTCAGTAATAACCTTGGTGTCACCATAAGTTGGAAACAACTTGAAGGACAATATGTTGTCGAAGCCTCTCATGGCTGGAATCACTCGGTTGCTGTGAGTTTTTCGGGCTGTGTGGCCATGTTCCAGAAGCCTTCCCTCCTGACATTTCTCCCACATCTATGGCAGGCATTCCATCTGAACATGAGGAAGAACTTCCTGACTGTGAGAGCCGTTCATCAGTGGAACTCTCTGCCCCAGGGTGTGGTGGAGGCTCCATCTTTGGAGGCTTTTAAACAGAGGCTGGATGGCCATCTGTCAGGGGTGATTTGAATGCAATATTCCTGCTTCTTGGCAGAATGGGGTTGGACTGGATGGCCCATGAGGTCTCTTCCAACTCTTTGATTCTATGATTCTAATGTTTAAGTGGCATGTCTTTTCCTGTGATTTGAGTCCATGGCTCCATTGTGTCCTGGTTTCCAGAGCAGCCGAAAAGGAGTTCGCCTCTTCCTCCACAACTTTTGGGTATTTCAACATGGTTATCATATCCCCTCTTCCTGTTTTCCTGAGTAAACATACCCAGCTCCTTAAACTGCTTCTCAAAAGGGCATAGTTTGCAGCAATGGTATCGCCTTGGATTGCAGTTCCCATAATCCCCATGCCCCAATTTAGGGATGRAGCAAACACCAGACTGGRAAGGCCACTCCTATGTMCCCAAAGCATACCCAGCTCCTCAAACCACTTCTCAAAAGAGCATAGTTTGCAGCAATGGTATGGCCTTGGATTGCAGTACCCATAATCCCCATGCCCCAATTTAGGGATGGAGCAAACACCAGACTGGGAAAGCCACTCCTATGTACCCAAAGCATACCCAGTTCCTCAAACCACTTCTCAAAAGAGCATAGTTTGCAGCAATGGTATAGCCTTGGATTGCAGYTCCCATAATCCCCATGCCCCAATTTAGGGATGRMGCAAACACCAGACTGGGAAGGCCACTCCTATGTMCCCAAAGCATACYCAGCTCCTYTAAACCRCTTCTCAAAAGAGCATAGTTTGCAGCAATGRTATAGCCTTGGATTGCAGTTCCCATAATCCCCATGCCCCAATTTAGGGATGGAGCAAACACCAGACTGGGAAGGCCACTCCTGTGTACCCAAAGCAAAGTTAGTTGAGTTGTGCAGAGATAATCCTTTCCCTTCGACCCACAAGACCATTGGCAAAGCCTGATGCTTGGTTTTGGACCTTTTGCTACCCTACATGTTGTGTAAACAAGGTTTGCATCTTTTGCTGCCCTGCTTGCTCTGCAAACAAGGTGTGTGTTTACTCCAGTGCAGCGGCAGCTCCCTCTGCGCATTGCCAGAGATGTTGCGGAGGCGGCTGAGCTCCATGTAGGACATAGATTACAGTATGGCTTCCCTTTTATGTTGCTGCAAGACTTGATGTACGCACACAGGGGCGAGAAGCTGAGGGACTCAGATATTCCCTTTGATGTTTCAGTGCTGCTGACTATAACAAAGCTGCGTGCCTTGCGAGGGATAGAAGAAGATGTGATGAGAGAATGCATCCTCCTCCCATCACAGAGGAAAAAATACTACATCCTGATAGAATCATCACGTTGCAAGAGACCCTAAGGCCCACCCATCCTGCTATGCACGAAGACACCATCAAAACACTCTTAATAGATGGCCATTCAGCCTCTGCTTAAAAACCTCCACAGAAGGAGACTCCAGGCAGCATATTCCATTGTCTAACAGCTCATCCCACCAGAAAGTTCTTCCTAATGAGTTGTTGTAGGTCTTTTCGGGCTATATGGCCGTGTTCTAGAGGCATTCTCTCCTGACGTTTCGCCTGCATCTATGGCAAGCATCCTCAGAGGTAGTGAGGATGCTTGCCATAGATGCAGGTGAAACGTCAGGAGAGAATGCCTCTAGAACATGGCCATATAGCCCAAATAAACCTACAACAACCCAGTGATTCCAGCCATGAAAGCCTTTGACAATACAGTTCTTCCTAATGTTTACATGGAATTAGTATGAGGGTTGAATGAGAAGTAATGCCTCCACCTTCGTAACTCCTCAACAGACGGCAGTACTGGTATGCGGCAGGTACTGGCTTGTTCAGTAGACTCTCCTCTACAGTTCCATTTTGGCAGGAAGCCTTAGCATTGAATGGTTGTGTTGTTAAAGTGCAAAGTATGGAACCCTGCGCAGACAGTCAGTCAATGCGACTTAAGCAACGTGCAGTCATTGAATACTTGACAGCAGAAGGTGTCACCCCAAAGGAGATTCATCAGAGAATGCAAGCTGTTTATGGGTGATTGTGTTGATGTGAGTACTGTGCGTCATTGGGCGAGTAAGTTTAAAGATGTTGAGGTGGGAATATCTGACTTGCGTGACAAACCAAGAGTTGGACGTCATGTGACAGGAACCACCAAGTTTCACAAGCAAAAGGTTGACAGATTGATTCAGGACAACCGTCGTATCACTCAGAGAGAAATTTCAAACATAATCGGCATTTCACAAGAACGTGTGGGTCACATTATTGCTTTGCTTGGCTGTCGGAAGATCTGTGCACGATGGGTACCCAGGATGAGAGAACTGTGAGATACTAGTTGTGGAAACAGAGTGTCAACTTCTTCCGTGACGGCTTCAGAAAACTTGTTCATCGTTGGCAGAGATGTATCTCATTGTCTGGTGATCATATGGAAAAGTTAATAGTGGTAGTTAAAGAGCACATTCTAAGGATTATTTCTGCATTTGATTTATTAAAATATTTCCATTTTTGTTAGTACCTGGGGCAATCTTTTGTTGAGAGGTGATTAGCTGTCCCTGATTATTTCCTCTCTGTTGTTTTGCTGTTGTAATTTTAGAGTTTTTAAATACTGGTAGCCAGATTTTGTTCATTTTCATGGTTTCCTCCTTTCTGTTGAAATTGTCCACATGCTTGTGGATTTCAATGGCTTCTCTGTGTAGTCTGACATGGTGGTTGTTGGTGTGGTCCAGCATTTCTGAGTTCTCAAAACACAGAAATGCTGGACCACACCAACATCCACCATGTCAGACTACACAGAGAAGCCATTGAAATCCACAAGCATGTGGACAATTTCAACAGAAAGGAAGAGACCATGAAAATGAACAAAATCTGGCTACCAGTATTAAAAAACTCTAAAATTATAACAGCTAAACAACAGAGAGGAAAACCAGGCACAGATTAACACCTCCCAGCAACAGATTTTCCCAGGCTCAGGCAGGCCTTCAAATGCTAATGAAGGTGATCAGCTAAACATTCACACCTAAGCTGCAGCAGGGAAGAGCTCTTTGCCCCACCCCAGCCGTTCCACAGATATATAAACCCATTTTCCTAATTCCAACAGACCTCACTACCTCTGAGGATGCTTGCCATAGATGCAGGCGAAACGTCAGGAGAAATGCCTCTAAAACATGGCCCTATAGCCCGAAAAAACCCACAAGAACCTAATAATCTATATAAATAAAAATGTCCACAGATATATAAACCCATTGTCCTATTCCAACAGACCTCACTACCTCTGAGGATGCTTGCCATAGATGCAGGCGAAACGCCAGGAGAGAATGCCTCTAGGAGATGGCCATATAGTCTGGAAAATCTACAACAACCCAATAATAATTTTATTTCTTACCTGCCTCTCCTTGTAGCTCGAGACGGGTTTGAGAATAATTAAAGCACATAAACATTGTAAAAATACTACAAATACACAGATTAAAACATATTTCTATAAAATACATGTTAAAACATGCAATTAATACAATTAAAATTTGCATTTGAAGCTCACCATTCCAACCAAATCCCACCCACAACCCCTTCAGCAGCATTCTGGGATTCATCAACCCAAAATATACCTTTCTCCCATTCTCAGAGCCAGGACTTATATTGCTATCTTTGTTTCCCAAAGAGCTTCTCTTATTCGCGTTCTGTGGGTTGGTGCATCATGCGCTCAGTGCCAACAGGCTGGGTTTGCATAGATCGGAGACACTCTTCCGATGGGGTACTTTTGGGGCTGCTTGTTGCAGTTTATTTATTTATCGTGTCAGTATCAACCAGACAATTGTATTACATTTTTGTATTACTTGTTGCAGTGATTTGGCCAGTGTTTTTACATAAAATAAAACATCACTAACAAGGGTTTATTTCAGGTTAGTGAAGGGCACCGCTTACCATTGGGACCTGCTCCTCGTGGCGCTCATCAACACGGGGCTGTCGGTCTTCGGGCTGCCCTGGATCCACGCCGCCTTCCCGCATTCCCCGATGCACGTCCGCGCTTTGGCCTACGTGGAGGAGAGGGTCGAAAACGGGCACATCTACGAGACGTACGTTATGTTGTGGCGTTTGGGTATTGCATTCAGTATGTAACGCTGTTGTAATAGTATTTCCTAATTGGGTCTATCATTTAAAAACTTTGGGAAAGTTTATTAAACTGCAAAAACTTTGTTTCTGCTATAGGACATTTTGCTCTAGTTTTTCAATGAATATCTCGAGTCCCAACCGATTCAATCTAGTTTGCCACAAAAACAAAGTTTCCGGAGTAGAACAACTGCTTTCAAAGTAAGGACCACAAAATTAAACAGGAAATAACACTTTCAAACCAGGAACAGAAAAAAAAATTCAAATTTTGTTGCATAGTGTTGTTGTTATTATTACGTTTATTTATACCTTACTTTATTTATACCTGCAATGGCACAGTGAGTTGAATTACTGAGCTGCTAAACTTGCTGACCAAAAGGTCAGCAGTTTGAATCCAGGGAGTGGGATGAGCTCCCACAGTTAGCCCCAGCTTCTGCCAACCTAGCAGTTTGAAAACATGCATATGAAAAGTCAGCAGTTCGAATCTGGGGAGTGGGGTGAGCTCCCACTGTTAGCCCCAGCTACTGCCAACCTAGCAGTTTGAAAATATCCCTACATGAGTAGATCAATAGATACTGCTCCTGCAGGAAGGTAATAGTGCTCCATGCAGTCATGCCGGCCACATGACCTTGGAGGTATCTATGGACAACGCCGGCTCTTCAGCTTAGAAATTGAGATGAGCACCAACCCCCAGAGTGGGACACAACTGGACTTCATGTCAAGGGGAAACCTTTACCTTTACTATCTTCTCTCTCTGCGAAAGAGGCTCAAAGTGTCAATAATAATAACAACAACACTTTATGTACGTTCCGTTCGTATCTTCGCAAGGGGACTCAACATACACAGATAGGCAAATATTCAGAGCCTTTAATACAGTGGAATAATAATGACATACAAATACACTGAACAAAGGTAGAGGCTTTCCCATTCATCTCCACTTTCTGGAGGCAGTACTCAACTCTTGCCATGGGGAGGTGCTCTTGATCCATTTCCAAACCGAGGAGCCTGTTGTCTGTAGACACCTCCTGGTCGTGTTTGCCTGCATGGCTGCATGGACACCTTTATTCCCTGATCTACTTACTCTTGCATGTTTTCGAACTGCTAGGTTGGCAGGAGCTAACACTAACAGCGGGAGCTCACCTTGACCTGCGGCTTCTGGTCAGCAGATTCAACAGTTTAACCCGTTGCACCACAGTTAAACAAGGAGGAACTACAATTTAAAATCTAACAATAATACAATATAATTTGCTTTGCAATCTTTAACAAACAAGTGACAACACTAAAAAAAAATACTATGAATGTGGGTTCTAAAAAAGGTTGATCATAAATAATTTGGATAAGTTTCTGAACTCTAACTCTTATTCCTTTCAGGAATGCATAAGTGCCAGTGTTTACAGCTGCAATTCCTTACTGGAATATCTGTAATATTATCAAATATAATCCACAGTTTGGGTTCTGGGAAGTTAGTGTTAAGTTTCTACGTTTTTTTTCTGTAATGGTTAACTCAAAGCAGTAAACTTACTACCTATAAGTAGCAAAGGTAAAGGTTTTTGCCTGACATTAAGTCCAATCGTGTCCGACTCTGGGGTTGGTGCTCATCTCCATTCCTAAGCCAAAGAGCTGGCATTGTCCATAGACACCTCCAAGCTCATGTAGCCCGCATGACTAAATTGAGCACCGTTACCTTCCCGCAGAAGCAGTACCTATTGATCTATTCATATTTACATGTTTGTGAACTGCTAGGTTGGCAGAAGCTGGGGCTAACAGTGGGAGCTCACCCAATTTTTCTGTAATGGTTAACCCAAAGCAATAAACTTACAAATGGCTTTAATAAGTAGTAAAGGTAAAGGTTTTCCCCTGACATTAAATCTAATCGTGTCCAGTTCTGGAGGTTGATGCTCATCTCCGTTCCTAAGCTGAAGAGCTGGCGTTGTCCATAGACACCTGCAAGGCCATGTAGCCAGCAGGACTGCATGGAGCGCCGTTACCTTCCCACAGAAGCGGTACCTATTGATCTACTCACATTTGCATGTTTTCGAACTGCTAGGTTGGGAGAAGCTGGGGCTAACAGTGGGAGCTCACACCACTCCCTAGATTCGAACTGCTGACCTCAGTAGTTCAACTCACTGTGCCATCACAGGTATAAATAAGCATAATAATAACAACAACACTATATAACAAAATTTGAAATTTTTTTTCTGTTCCTGGTTTGAAAGTGTTATTTCCTGTTTAATTTTGTGGTCTTTACTTTGAAAGGAGTTGTTCTACTCCGGAAACTGCGGGTCAGGTGGTAGTCCATTGTGATAATATACATTTTTCTCAGGAGGAGGCGGTGGTTCACAGTCTCATAGGCTGCTGACAGGTCTATGAAGACAGCTCCTGTGATCGGCTGCCTTTCAAAGCCATCTTCTATGTGCTGAGTCAGGTTCAGCACTTGCGATGTGCAGCTTTTGCCTTTCCTGAAGCCAGCTTGCTTGCTGTGGGATCAGACAGGGATCTATTTTTTCCACAATTCTATGCAAAATAAGTCTCTCCAGAACTTTGTAGAGGTGGCACAACAGGGAGATTGGTCTGTAGCTTTTTGTCCTAGGTAAAAATAATAATTTTTTTTGGGTATTTTTCTATGCAGAATCGTGAGCGTGAAGGAGACCCGGCTGACGACGTTGGTGGCCAACTTCTTGGTGGGCCTTTCGCTGCTGCTCCTGCCTTTCCCGTTGCAGCTGATCCCGAAGCCGGTCCTCTATGGGCTCTTCTTGTACATCGCCCTGACCTCCATCGATGGGAACCAGCTCTTTGAAAGGGTGGCCCTTCTGCTGAAAGAGCAGGTAAGCTTCCCGGACGAATGGATAGCCACTAGGGAGGGAGGCCGTCTCTGTTTCCTGAGGAAACTCATAATCATGACTTGATTAGCCCAGCCTGGAGCAAACAGAGACATTAAACGGTCCCTGACTGCTTTTTATGATACTTCCTCCTTTCTCGCCTCTCTGTTCGCGCCCTGTTTATTGTCTTGAATGGGCTCCCACAGCAAAACACGCTGGGCAACGTGCCACCAAAAGGTTCCTGTAAAGGAAATAGGAAAATAAACTTTCACCTCCTGGCATCTGAAATGAAATTCCTTTTTCTGATCTGCCCAGAAAGTAGCCACCAACGCTTGTGATACGAGCTGGCGAGCTCCCTCTTTGCTCTTGCATGCCTTTCTGCCATGGGTTTAGCATGTTTCAGGGTGCATCTACACTAGAGCAGTGTTTCTCAACCTTGGGGTCGGGACTTCTTGGGGGTTCCTGAGAGGGGTCCCCAAAGACCATTAGAAAACACAGTATTTTCTGTTGGTCATGGGGGTTCTGAGTGGGAAATTTGTCCCAGTTCTATAGTTGGTGGATTCAGAATGCTCTTTGATTGTAGGTGAACTAGAAATCCCAGTAACTACAACTCCCAAATGTTAAGGTCTGCTTCCCCAAACTCCACCTGTGTTCACATTTGAGCATATTCAGTATTCGTGCCAAGTTTTGTCCAGATCCATCATTGTTTGAGTCCACAGTGCTCTCTGGATGTAGGTGAACTACAACTCCCAAACTCAAGGTCAATGCCCACCAAACCCTTCCAGTATTTTCTGTTGGTCATGAGGGTTCTGTGTGGGAAGTTTGGCCCAATTCTATCATTGGTGGGTTCAGAATGCTCTTTGATTGTAGGTGAACTTAAATCCCAGCAACTACAATTCCCAAATGTCAAGGTTTATTTTCCCCAAATTCCACCAGTGTTCACATTTGGGCATATTGAATATTTGTGCCAAGTTTGGTCCAGATCTATTATTGTTTGAGTCCACACTGCTCTCTGGATGTAGGTGAACTACAACTCCCAAAACTCAAGGTCAATGCCCACCAAACCCTTCCAGTATTTTCTGTTGGTCATGGGAGTTCTGTGTGGGAAGTTTGGCCCAGTTCTATCGTTGGTGGGTTCAGAATGCTCTTTGATTGTAGGTGAACTACAAATCCCAGCAACTACAACTCCCAAATGTCAAGGTCTTTTTTCCCCAAACTCCACCAGTGTTCACATTTGGGCATATTCAGTATTCGTGCCAAGTTTTGTCCAGATCGGTCATTGTTTGAGTCCACAGTGCTCTCTGAATGTAGGCGAACTACAACTCCCAAAGTCAAGGTCAATGACCACCAAACCCTTCCAGTATTTTCTGTTGGTCATGGGAGTTCTGTGGACCCAGAAAATAAACGGCAGCCAGTGGAGCGCCTTAAACAGGGAGGTAGACCGCTCCCTGTAATTTGCACCAGTTAACAGTCTGTCTGCTGATCACTGGACCAGTTGAAGTTTCCGGGCCGTCTTCTAGTGCAGCCCCACGTAGAGTGCATTGCAGTTGTCCAATCTTGAGATAACTAAGGCAATGGTCCACTGTGGTCAAATCGGACTTCATGAGGTACGGTCACAGCTGGCGAACAAGTTTTAGTTGTGCCACCGCCGACACCCCCAGACTGTGGACCTGTGTCTTCAGGGGGAGTGCAACCCTGTCAAGCACTGGTTGCCACACTATACCCCGATCCAGCCTGTGATTGACCTGGAGGACCTCTGTCTTGTCAGGATTAATCTTCAACTTGTTCGCCCTCATCCAGACCATCACAGCAGCCAGACACTGACATCAATTTAGCTCAAGACTATGGAATCATAGGACCACCAGTAGCCCCTAGCGTTGAGTCATGGCCATCGAAGTGGGTCCAAGCTGCAGTTATTCTACATTTATTTGTATGTTAATGATTTTATGTTAAGTCTCTTTAAGTCTCATTTGGGAGAGATAAAACAGGGTATTAATAATAATAATAATAATAATAATAATAATAATAATAATAATTGTCGAAGGCTTTCATGGCCAGAATCACTGGGTTGTTGTAGGTTTTTTCGGGCTGTATGACGATGTTCTAGAGGCATTCTCTCCTGACGTTTCGCCTGCATCTATGGCAAGCATCCTCAAGGTAGTGAGGTCTGTTGGAACTAGGAAAAGGGTTTATATATCTGTGGAATGACCAGGGTGGGACAAAGGACTCTTGTCTGTTGGAACTAGGTGTGAATGTTTCAATTGGCCATCTCATCTTGATTAGGTTTTTTCGGGCTATATGGCCATGTTCTAAAGGCATTTTCTCCTGACATTTCGCCTGCATCTATGGCAAGCATCCTCAGAGGTAGTGAGGTATCATCAGGTACCTCTGAGGATGCTTGCCATAGATGCAGGCGAAACGTCAGGAGAAAATGCCTTTAGAACATGGCCATATAGCCCGAAAAAACCTACAACAACCCAGTGATTCCGGCCATGAAAGCCTTCGACAACCCAATAATAATAATAATGATAATGATAATAGTGATAATGATATAGATACACTTCTAAGACAAACTCATTTATTTCAGCATGAATTTTACCAAAATACTGGACTGTTTATAATCTAGATAAGGCTTTTGCAAACTTGGGCCCTCCAGGTGTTTTGGACTTCAATTCCCACAATTCCTAACAGCTGGTAGACTGTTAGGACCTCACAACCTCTGAGGATGCCTGCCATAGATGCGGGTGAAACGTCAGGAGAGAATGCTTCTAGAACATGGCCATACAGCCTGAAAAAACCTACAACAACCCTGTAATAATGATGATAGTAATAATAATATAGATAAATTTCTAAGATAAACTCATTTATTTCAGCATGAATTTTACCAAAATACTGGACTGTTTATAATCTAGATAAGGCTTTTGCAAACTTGGGCCCTCCATGTGGACTTCAATTCCCACAATTCCTAACAGCCGGCAGACTGTTAGGACCTCACAACCTCTGAGGATGCCTGCCATAGATGCAGGCGAAACGTCAGGAGAGAATGCTTCTAGAACATGGCCATACAGCCCGAAAAACCTACATACAACAACCCGGCTGGTAGACTGTTGGAAATTGTGGGAGTTGACGTCTGAAACAACTGAAGGGCCAAATTTGGCCCATGCCTAAGATAAGGGACATTCATCCTGTAATTGCTTGCCTCGTGATGACCGTTTTCCTTTTCCAGACGGCCTACCCTCCGACCCACTACATCCGCCGGGTGCCGCAGAGGAAGATCCACTACTTCACCGGCCTGCAGGTGCTCCAGCTCCTCATCCTTTGCGGCTTTGGGATGTCTCCTCTTCCCTACATGAAGATGATCTTCCCCCTCATCATGATCGGGATGATCCCCATCAGGTACCACCTGCTTCATAAATAAATGCTCACCCTAACGCGTACTCTTATTTTGGCCAGGTCATTGAACCAAAAAAAAGTGAGCATTAGATCCGAGTAAATACAATATTAAAATAGATAGCACAAGAATATCCTGGAACCAATTCCCCATTCAAACAAAGGACCTAAAGATAAGGACATTAAGTCTATATATGTCCGACTGAAAGGCGTGGTGCTCATCTCCATTTCTAAGCCAAAGAGGTGCCCATAGACACCTCCAAGATCATGTGGTCAGCATGACTGCATAGAGTGCCATTACCTTCCCACAGAAGTGGTACCTTTTTGAACTGAAGTTGGGGCTAACAACGAGAGCTCACCTCACTTTCTGAAATTCTAACAGCTGGCCTTTTGCTCAGCAAGTTCAGCAGATCAGCGGTTTAACCCGCCGCACCACCAATTTGAGGAGCCCCCGGTGGCGCAGTGGGTTAAACCCCTGTGCTGGCAGGACTGAAGACCGATAGGTCGCAGGTTCGAATCCGGGGAGAGGTGGATGAGCTCCCTCTATCAGCTCCAGCTCCTCATGCGGGGACATGAGAGAAGCCTCCCACAAGGATGATAAAAACATCAAATCATCTGGGCATCCCCTGGGCAACGTCCTTGCAGACAGCCAATTCTCTCACACCAGGAGTCACTCCTGACACGAAAAAACCCCAAAAAAACCCACCAATTCACTATGTAAAAATTTTTGGAAAATGTTCCGTTCCTGGTTTGAAAGTGTTATTTCCTTTTTGAAAGTAGTTGTTACACTCTAGAAACTTTGTTTTTTGGGGGTGCCACAAACTTTGTTGAATTGGTTGAGACTCTAGGAGACATTCACTGAAAAACGGTAGCCAAATATGCTGCAGGATGTTGCACAAAAACAAAGTTTTTGCAGTTTAATAAACTTTTCCAATGTTTTGATGATAGAACCAATTAGGAAATAACATTTATAACCCAGGATCAAAAACCGTGTTAGATAGTGTAACCAAGTTGCCTTCGGGTTGAGAGGGGCGGTAAATAAATATGGTAAATAAATGGTAAATAAATAAATGGCCCGTTTGAAAGGGCCACCCATTGCCATGGCTTGACTGCTCTCCTGGATCATGTGAGTCTACATTAATCCAGTTCAATGCTACATTAATCCAGTTCAGTGACATCTCCAGCTCATCCCCTGTTTGGGTATCAGCCAGCATGTCAATGACTTAAATCAAGAAATAGTTTTCTAAGATCTACAGAGACACTCGCTGGAACACCTCAGCAAGCGAGAGTCCAAAAGTGGCAGGCTCAAACCCAGAACCTCAATCAATGGCTGATACCAAATGAGAGACTCCCCCCTGGGCACACAGAAGACTGGGCGACTTGGAAGGCGCTGAACAGACTGCGCTTGGGCACCACGAGATGCAGAGCCAACCTTCAGAAATGGGGCCACAAAGTGGAATCCACAATATGAGTGTGCCGTCGCACCTGGGGTCTATAGATCTTAGTGAAAGAAACATGGACGTGACATCTCTCCCCAGGGGATTGCTTCTTGCCCTCCTTTAGGAAACTGGAACTCCCAAGGACCAAGACACAACAGATAACTCGAAATGGTCTTTATTGTTCACAATGAGTTATCTTTCTTAGGCATAAACTTGATGTTTCAACAGGGATAAAGAAAATATACGTTATAGTCTCTGAAGTCTTGGGTCCAAGGAGTTTGCAGCTGAGAAGCTTTCCAAGTTCCCTCTTTTCTCAATGGCTGTGAATGCCGAAGCATCCACAACATCAGTCCAAATGGCCTGTATTTGAAGGCACAAAGTCTTCCTCTGGTGCCAAAGGACTGGTTTGAAGGTGCTTGAGACTCCTCAACGTTGTCCAGGAAGATCTGGGCATGAAGTGTGAGTCTCAAGGGTAAAAACCTGAGAATTGGTGATGAGAGATAGCTTAAACAAGGGCTTTAGAGCCAAGTCTTTCTCACGTCCATCTATAAAGCTGTCTGATGGTAGAATGAAAAAGGAAACACTGCCCTCTTCTTCTAGGAAGAGGTGGGGCCAAACAATTGAGCTGAGGGAGCAATTCAACTGGTGCAAACAACATTGATTGACAGCTATAAATAACCAATCAACCCAACTATACATTTACAGAGAAAACAGACACGTTGGGGCATGTTACACAGTTTAAACCTTTGCAAATTAAAGTTCTACATATAGGTGGCGCCACTTGCGCCGTCACAGCGAGTGTGGAGAAGAGCAAACCACAGACCATCTGCTGTGATGTAACCTGAGCCCTGCCACATGCACAATGGAGGACCTTCTTATAATAACACCAGAGGCACTCAAGGACATTTAATGAACTACCAAGCTTGCAAACTTTGTGGTTTGTTTGTTTGTTTGTTAAAAAATGCAATACAACTGTTTGGTTTGCTCCTGACATGATAAATAAATAAATGCTTCCCTCGTTCCTCTTTTGCTCAGGTATAACTTGCTGCCCCGGATCATCGAAGCGAAATACTTAGATGCGATGGACGCGGAGCACTAAAAGAGGCAGCTAGGCTTCGGCCTCGGAGACAGCCCTCCGCTTTAATGGACCGGGAAGGGCGCTGTCGCCCGTCGAAGAAGAAGTCACTCTTTGGAAATCGGTCTGTTTGGGGACTTCTGTGACTTTTCTCTTACCACTGCACTACTACTACTACTGCTACTACTCTAAGGCATTTTGCCAGAGACTAACCAAGTGCCCGAATATTTGGGGGGGTTGGGGAGGGAGGAATGAGGGTGGGGAAAGTGAGAATGTTTGCTCTTCCTCGAAGCGGGGAGGAAAGTGAAATCCCAAAGACACAGGTTTGGAGCTGCAGCCTTCTTCATTTCGGGGAAGAATCTCCTTTTTTATATATGCCTTTCACCTCCCCAGAACTGCTCTGCTCTGTCGCCGGTCCTTTTGTATACAGAGCCATGTTGAACTTTGTTGCCGTTTCTCCAACTTTGAGTACCTTTAATGGCCAACCTTCTGGTGACCATTTAGTGCCCAGCGACTTTGGAGAAAGAGTAACCAACCCACCGTGGGTAAACATTGCTGTCAAAGAGCCTAAATTCTGCAATGTATTAATGTCCACTAGCATTCGAAACTAGACTTAAATGGCAATGGCAAAGAGAAGCGCCTTTTCCCACGAGGACCGGAGGCAACCAGGACTGACCCAAAGCTGCTTTTACGCAACTCTTTTTTTGCTGACTCTCATCCCAACTCGGAACGGTAGATTTGCACGGAACCAGGCACTGAAATCTTGGACAGGATTCTTCTCCCCTTCCTCAGTTATCTGTGTACAGGACGACTTAGGTGTACATATATATATACAGAGCCGATCTAGATTTGTGTATATATTTTGCATAGAAACGTTCTGGGTAGAGACGCCTGTCCTTTCCGGAGACTGAAAGGGTATTTTGTGCAATCAGTGTTAACTTGTACTGTATCTTACCCTCAGCTTTGTCTCTCTTTCTTCCCCCTGTTTCGTTCCCTCCTGCTGTTTATTCACTCGTTCCCTGTCGTTTTTTCCTCCTTTTCTTCTTCTTTTTTGCCATCTCTTTTTTTCTCTTAGTCCTTCAAGTCCAACACTTTAAATTCCTCTTAGCATTTCATTTTAATGGACAGTACATACAGGACATTGCGGGTTTGAGGTTGTATTTTCCTCCTTCCTTCTTTTCTTCCTTCTTTCCCTTTCCTTTCTTTCTTTCTCTCCTTCCTCTCCCTTTTCCTTCTCTACCTCTCGGCCGGACCCCTCGATGAAATACCCCCCGTCTTCTTAAATGGCTCCCTACCGACTACTACTCTAGCGGAAAGGCACTCGGATCCCACTCCACCTGGCGTCAGGGCTCGCAGAACCCGTTTACCGCTTGCTAAACCTCTAGCAGGTACCAAACTGTTCGCTTCAACTTTTTTTTTTTTTTTTTTTTTTTTTCTTTATCACCATTCTCTCGTACAATCCTACTTCGTGGCTCACGCTATGCCTGACTGAAGCTCCATTATCTCACTAATTTCCTGGCATCTCCTCACAATCCCTTCATTCATTTTATCCCTCAATACCCTCCGCTTCTTTGCTCTATCTTCTTTGTCCATAAGCCCTCTCTCTTACCCCACCAATTTCCACCCCTTTTTTTTTTTTGGAAGTGGATTAAGATGGAGGGCTGACATGTTCTCCCTCCTTAGCGAGGTCCATCACAACTTCCCTTCCCTCCCCCCTACCCTCCTTCCCTAGTCTACCATTCTCCATCCCTTCCCTCCCACATCACCCTTCCTGTAACCTAGTGCTCCCTGCACCCACCTTCATCTCTTTGTCCCTTACCTTCCAGTCCCCACGCCATCAACTCTCTCCCCTATTCACTTCCCCTTTTCCTCCCATTCCCCCATTCTCCCCTTCTCAATTCCTCTCCCCTTCCCCCTAGCTAGTACAGCCCTCTCCTACCCTACAATCTCCCTTCCTCTAGACTCCCTACCCCTCTCCCTTTTCCCATGCACCTTCCCTACCCAGGTCACCTGACCACTTCCCCTTCTCTCCCTTTTCCACTTCTTCCATCCCTCTGCTTTCTCCCTACCCTTCCTATCATTCCTGCCACATCCACCTCTCCTTCATTCCTACCCTCCTCCTTCCTTTCTCCTCGGCCATTCTCCCCACACATACATTTGCCCTCCTTCCTTGCACTCCCTCATTCCATTCCCACCAATTCCTTACCTTGCTCCTCGCTCCCTCCCTTCCCGCTCCATGCTCCTCTCCATTCTACCTCCTTTCCTCCCTATCTCTCACCTGCCCATCATCAGATCTGTTTCAATAAGATGTTTCAAATTTGTGTTGTCTTAGTTATAACTTCATAGGCTACCATTTTGTTAATTCTTATCACAACTTTCGGAAGTGGTTTCCTTCATTTGCTCCCTTCCTTTCATTGCAGGTTGCTCCCTCCCTCCCCTTCCTTCCTTGCTCCCTTCCTTCCATCCCTCTTTCTCCATTCCTTCCTTGCTCCCTCCCTCCCTTCCTACCTTCCTTGCACCCTTCCTTCCTTCCCTCCCTCTCTTCCTCCATTCCTTCATGCTCCCTCCCTCCTTCCCTTCCTTGCTCCCTACCTTCTATGCTTGCTCTCTTCCTTCCTTCCTTGCTTCCTTCTTCCTTCCTTCCTTCCTTCCTTCCTTCCTTCCTTCCCTCCCTCCCTCCCTCCCTCCCTTCCTTCCGTTTTCCCATATTTTGTTTCCTAGCCTATGCTTCTGTTTTCTTTTTAGTCTCTGTGCCATTTTGAGGAATTTTTTGTAGCCAATCTCCCTGATTCTCCCCCACAAAACATGACATTATATTTCTGGAAGACTTCTGTTGATGTCTGTTTTATATATTGTGGCTCCTAATGATCATTTGTGTGTGATTGTTTGTTTGTGTGTGTGTGTGTGTGTACTTCGGCACGTTTTGCCTCCTTTCCTTTCTTTTATTTTTATTCTCTTAATGTTCCATTTTGTGTTTAAGTTCGGTGACATTTTGGTTCCTTCCTCCGCAATATTCTCTTTGCGATAAAATATTTGAAAAAGTTTGGGACATTCAGCAAGAAAGGTTAAGTCAGAAACCAGTCCGGTTGCTTGACACTTGTTCCAAGTGAAGAAAGTTAGGACTAAAAAAACAATAAGGTTTTTCCTTTAAATTAGTGTTTTTGCTAGGAGCCCCCAGAAACACTTGTGCCGGCAAGTCTGAAGACCGACAGGTTGGAGGTTGGAATCCAGGGAGAGTGTGGATGAGCTCCCTCTGTCAGCTCCAGCTCCCCATGCGGGAGTGGCACAATGGGTTAATCTCTTGTGCTGGCAGGACTGAAGACTGACAGGTCGGAGGTTCGAATCCGGGGGGAGTGTGGATGAGCTCCCTCTGTGAGCTCCAGCTCCCCATGCGGGAGTGGCACAATGGGTTAACCTCTTGTGCTGGCAGGACTGAAGACCAACAGGTCGGAGGTTCGAATCCGGGGAGAGTGTGGTGAGCTCCCTCTGTCAGCTCCAGCTCTCTATGCGGGGACATGAGAAAAGCCTCCCACAAGGATGGTAAAACATCAAAAATATCCGGGCGTCAACCTGGGCAACGTCCTTGCAGACGGCCAATTTTCTCACACCAGAAGTGACTTGCAGTTTCTCAAGTCACTCCTGACATGATTAAAAAAATCAGACCGATGGGAGTTGTGATCCAAAAGGATGGTAAAAATATCAAAACCTCTGGGTGTCCCCTGGGCAAAGTCCTTGCAGACAGCCAATTCTCTCACTCCAGAAGCGACTTGCAGTTTTTCAAGTCTCTACTGATATGAAAAACAACCTGTTTTTGCTTGAGTGCACATTCTGGCATCTTGTCTGGAATCTGTAAGCCACACACTGGTTGGATTCAAACGTCCCAAACTTCTGAAGTTCACAAGCTTGCCTTAATTTTGTTTTTATCCACAAGCTAAACCTCTGGAATGTAGTGGGTTTAGATCAGGCATGGACAAACTTGGGCCCTCCAGGTGTTTTGGACTCCAACTCCCACAATTCCTAACAGCCAGCAGGCTGTTAGGAATTGTGGGAGTTGGAGTCCAAAACACCTGGAGGGCCGAAGTTTGCCCATGCCTGGTTGAGACATTAAAGAAATCTTTGGAGGTAATTTTTAAACTAGTAGAGTTTGCCAGGTATAGGAAGTTCAAGAAGCTCATATATCCATAGATCATACATTATCTTGTTTTTAGCTGCAGACTCTTGTACGAGTCTGAAAAATCCTTGTGCCAAATTGAGAAGGTCTTCTGATGTATCATTGCTGGGTCTCCTGGCTCGTTTTTTGATATGGTTTCCGTGCCACTACTCTATTCCCAATCTGAGAAAATTTAGGGACAAAGTTTTGTAGAGATATCAGGAAAAAAAATGTTTGCGGAGTTTGCAGAGCAGACAATTTGTTGGGTTTTAAACCGACAAGCCAAAGGGTTTGCAAACTTGGAGTTGGTGACCAGATGCCCAGATTTTCCACCTTATAGCAAGCCCTAAAGCCTGCCCCATATCTTGACATCATTGCCTGTGGCAAGTAGACCAAGATATATTGATTGACAAGAGCTTCCCTTCCCCAATACTTCTACTGAGGAAAGACTATTGTGGTCCACATCTTCCTGCCCAAGACACAGACATCTCCATTCCTTTTAATGAGGAGGGAGATTTTCTTATCCAAAATTGTGCCCTTATGTGCCCCATATTCAGTCATCTCCCAAAGCATCCGTTCATGCAAAGCAAATACATTTGAGAGATTGGCAAACTTCCATGTCTAAGTGTTGGATGCTGAGTCTTGCAGTTGGATGAACAGGTGCCAGGCCAGAAGGGAGGTTTTCTCAAAATAGATCTTTCGCCATATCCTGAACATCCATTTCTCATCTCGTCACCTTTGGAGTCATGACCAGGAGTGAACGTGATGTCACTTTTGGGAACTATTTTGGGCCATAATATGGATGGAAAATGATATTTCTATGTGTTGCAGATAATATGTGTTCCATGGGTTTCAGGGAAGTGTTTGCTTCTTGAT